CTAAACTCGGGCTTCTCTTTCCCTCAGTGTGTCCATGTGGAACTACCGGGTGGCCCAGAGTCTTGTCTTTGCCATAGAGGAGATCAACAGGGACGCCCGGCTGCTGCCCAACCTCACTCTGGGCTTCTCCATCTTTAACTCTGGGGACTCGGTACCTGGAGCCCTCTACGAGACGATGGCCTTTCTCACGGGGTGGGAGGAGCCCATCCCCAACTACGAGTGTCAGCCCAGCCCTCCGCGGGCTGCCCTGGTCGGAGACACTCGGTCAGCTGTGTCCATCCCCATGGCCAGGCTGCTGGGGCTCTATAAGTTTCCCCAGGTGAGTCATCCCAAAGCCTTTTCCCTCCGCTGATGAATAGTGACGGTGGTGATGATGGTGGCAGTACTGAGGTGCTGCTGCTGGGGGACCAAATTTCCCACCAATGCTTCATGTGCCCAACACTAACCTGGTGGTCAGGAGATGCAGATCCCCATTGCATCCAGGGAGAAACTGAGGTTTAGGAACAGTCACAGATGGGTCCAAGCTCACCCAGCAGGACTGAATCCAGGTGGTAGGGCTCATGCTGACCAGCCTCCCCTCCACTCCCATGGTATTTCCCCAATTTTGGGGCCTCAGTGTCAGGCTCACAATCATGGTTGTGTCCAAGTACCACCTTTTCTTCTTGTTTTCCTTTAAATTGGATCCTATTTTAACAGGTTTACTGAGGCATAATTCACATACCATACAATTCACCCACTTACAGTGAACAATTCAGTGACTTTTTGTGTACTCAGAGCTGCCCAACCAGCATCTCCACGACCAATTAGAAAACATTCTATTCACCCCATAAAGAAACCCCACACCTATTAGCCACCGCTCCCCATCAGCCCCACTCCAGCAACCACAAATCTGATTTCCATCTCTGTGGATTTACATTTTCTAGACATTTTGTATAAATGATGTCACGTGACATGTGCTCTTTCATGCCTGGCTTCTTCCACTGACCATATGTTGTTCATCCATGTGGTGGTGCGAATTGGCACTTCATCTCTTTTTATGGCTGAATCTCATTCCATTGTGTGGATGGACCACGTTGTGTTTGTCCGCTCATCCGTTGATGGACATTTGAGCTGAGGCCACTTTTTGGCAATTGTGAATAATGCTGCTACAAGCATCTGTGTGTAGGGTTTTTTTCATGTAATTTTTTGTTTATTTATTTATTTATTGAGGAAGATTGGCCCTGAGCTAACATCCGTGCCCATCTTCCCCTACTTTATATGTGGGACGTCTGCCACAGCATGGCTTGATAAGCAGTGTGTAGGTCCACACCCAGGATCCCCACCAGTGAACCCCGGGCCGCCGAAGTGGAGCATGTGAACTTAACCCTTGTGTGTAGATTTTTGTGTATATATGTGTTTTTCTTTTCTCTTTTCTTTTATGGGAGCTTGTTACCAAGGCAATATCTCAGGACATAGCCAAACCCACTCAATCAGAGTCTTCATTTTAACAAGATCCCCAAGTGGTTTGTTTGCCTGCCAAAGTTAGAGTGCCACTTATTCAGGTCCAAATGCCCCCAATTTTTGTTGAGAAGAGGCAAGAAGATGACTTGGTGGATGTCCTACTAGTTAGTGACAGAACCAGACTGCTATCCCTCCAACTAATTTTAATTACTAACAATTATTGTGCGCTTACCGAGTCATTCTCTTGGAGCTGCTATTGCCTGACTCACTGTTAAGATGTTCTAAAGAGGGCTTACTCTGTGCCTGGCATTGGGATTCTCCCATTACATTCTCACCGTAACCCTTCCAGGTCGGTACAGGAGAAATCCTCTATGTAGAATGGGTCCCTGGCTATTGAAATCAATTAAGGCTTGACATCATACAAAATATACACACCTTGAACATTTCTATGCACGTGTTTTCAGTCCTCTTGGGTACATGGTTGGTATTGATGATCATATGGTAGATCTGTGTTTATTTGAAGAACTGCCAGAGCATTTTCCAAAGTGGCTTCACCATTTCACATTCCCACCAGCATCGTGTGAGGATTCCAGTTTAAATTCACTCATTTTGACTGTGAAACCTATACATTTGGATAAATTCCTCCCTCCTTGAACGCCTTAAATTTGCTGTTTCCTCTCTGCCGGGAAGGGCCTTCCTTCCTCCCCAGGAAGCTGGGGCCCTGCAAGGCGCAGAACACATTCTGAGGCTGTTTCCTAGGAAGACTTTGTGGGAGTTGGTGCCACAGAGGAAGCGCAACCCCTGCTTCTTCTCAGAGGGCCGCTCATGTGGCGGGATTTCTCCTCAGGTCTAACACTCCAGCTCTGGGCTCGGTTGCACAATCAGTTTGTCCAGTTCTATCCTGATGAAAAAGAGGAACAATTCTTATAGAATCTCTCAAATAACCACATTGCTGGTACAGATGGAGAGGCTCAGAGGAAATATTTGTGAATTCGGACAGGTCTGTGAAAACAGGACGCCATTTAAAAAATGCTGTGTGGTTTTCTCTGCCTTTGTTTTTTGCAGGGAAAGATTGGCCCTGAGCTAACATCTGTTGCCAATTTTCCTCTTTTTTTTTTAACTCCTCAAAACCACAGTGCATGGTTGTATATCCTAGTTGTAAGTCCTTCCAGTTCTTCCAAGTGAGCTGCCACCACAACATGGCAACTGACAGACGGGAGGTGTGGTTCTGTGCCCAGGAAATGAACCAGGGCCATCAAAGCAGTGAGAGCCCTGAACTTTAACCACTAGGCCAACAGGGCTGGCTCAAGAATGCTATGTTTTTAAGAATGTTTGTGTGGGAGGCAGAATGCTAAGGTAGCCCCCACAATTCTTGCTGGTGCACACACCCTGTATAATCCCTGCTCCCCGAGTGTGGAGAGGAAACTGTGAATAGGCTGGACAGTTACTGTCATGATTACATCATAGAAGACCCTGACCTAGCAGATTGAAGAGACATTTTTCTCCTCTGGCCTGAAGTAGAATTAAACTACCATGCTGTGAGAGTAGGAGGCCGTGTGACAAGAACCTGAGGTGGCTTCCAGGAGCTAAGAGTGGCCCCCGGCCAATAGCCAGCCAGAAAGTGGGACCTCAGTCCTACAGCTGCAAGGAACTGAATTTTGTCAACAACTGGTGATCCTGGAAGTGGACCCCAAGCCTCAGAGGAGAGCACAGCCCTGGCTGATCCCTCGATTGCAGCCATGTAACACTCCGAGAGGAGGACTCAGCGAAGTAAGCCGTACCCTGACTCCTGACCCACAGACACTGTGAGCTAATACATGGTGTTGTTGTAAGCTGCAAAGTTCGAGAGGCAACTGGTCCTTGCTTAAGATAGAAACATGGGTCCCAAGAACAACAGATGGTTGTAGCTGGGTTGCCTCTTAACTGAAATGATGATCCAGTTTGAAAATAAATTCATTAGATAATAACACAATAATAAGACTTCACTCATAAGAAAGGGCCTTGTGAATTTTTTATTCCAAATATCATATTAATACGAGTTTGGAATTTGGCTTTCTTTCTGTTAAAACACCAAATTGGTCTTGGTGTATTCAGTCTAGTCCAAGCAATGGGTAGTGAAAGGTGATTTTTGGTGTAACCTGCCCAGAGAGAGGAGATTCTGAATGTACAAGAACAAGCCCTTGGATTTGGCTGAGTTGTCATGCCTCTGGTTTAAAACACAAACCGAGATTTTTTCTCACTTCTGAAAGAGCTAATTTCAATTCTGCTCCATTTTAAAAAAATCTGATCAGATATGTGACTATTAAGAAAAATGTAATGTGTTCAACTAAACTGAATTATTCTGATAAATGTTTTTATATCAATAGTAATTATGATCCATGGGGTATCAACTCAAGGATCATTTCCAAGAGCCTAACTTAACTTAAGTGATTGGATTAATACTAATTTTAGTTAATTATTTAATGATCTTTGGATACTGGGGTGGTTTCTTTTCTTTCTTTCTTTCTTTCTTTTTTTTTTTTTGAGGAAGATTAGCCCTGAGCTAACTAACTGCCAATCCTCCTCTTTTTGCTGAGGAAGACTGGCCCTGAGCTAACATCCATGCCTGTCTTCCTCTACTTTATACGTGGGACGCCTACCACAGCATGGCGTTTGCCAAGCGGTGCCATGTCCGCACCCAGGAACCGAATGGGTAAACCCTGGAGGAAACGTGTGAACTTAACCACTGCGCCACGGGGCTGGCCCCTTTTTTTTTAAGATTTTATTTTTTTCCTTTTTCTCCCAAAGCCCCCCAGTTGTGTATCTTTTAGTTGTGGGTCCTTCTAGTTGTAGCATGTGGGATCTGCCTGATGAGCGGTGCCATGTCAGCACCCAGGATTCGAACCAGCGAAACTCTGGGCCGCTGAAGCAGAACGCTTGAACTTAACCACTGGGCCATGGGGCGGGCCCCTGGGATGGTTTCTAAGTAAGAGAAAACCCTGAAAAGCCGGTCTCAAGGAATAGATTTGGTATTTCTACCTTGACTTCCTACTTGTACACATTGTAGAGTAGCATAAATTTGGGTCTCATTAATGAGTGTGTTCCTTTTGACACTTTAAGAAGGTGTGAAAAGTATGAATGGCTGTTGGGGGTGATATCCTGCAAGGCTGTCAGCTTTGCTGTCTGCAACATGCTTGTATAGGACAGATCCTTTGAAACCACTTTCCTCTGAGTTTTCTCTTTGAAGAAGTGAGTTACTTTGGTTAAAAGTTTAGTGGTCAAGGCTGTTCTGACAATGGAGCACAAACAGCCTGGCAAGCTAACAGGCTGAGTTTTGTTTATCAAAGACTAAGGGAGTAGTTTTGTTCTGAACTAGAGTGTCTGATTGTTCCAGAACGCAAAGGAAGATAGTGTGAGTCAACCCTTGGGCGTGTTTATAAAGCTAGAGAACATTTGTAGAAAGTAAACTTTATTTGCCTGACTTTACATTTACTACAAAAAATGAGATTGAAAAGGCGCAATGAAATGTGTTAGAATTTGGCAACGTTCGGTGTTTGAGAGACTTTATTCATAGCCTTACATTTTTCTTAACATTATGTGGAATTTTAGGAAGTTTGGATTAACTGGTTGTTTCATGAGAAAACAAATCTAAATCTTACCAAAAAACAGTAAACACGAGTTACATTCTGTACAGATAAGTCAGAGGAAAAGGCGTCAGCGTTTTTAATTCCAAATGGTCGAACCCGGCTGATTTGTCCAAGGATTCACTCTGGTTACCTCACCTTGGATTTGCGTATAAAATGCTTCTGAGATGGCCGTTGAGGTTTTTTCTCTTCTCTTCTTCCAAATTCAAGCACGTGGAAGGCGTTAGAGGCGTTTCCCCAGCACGCTCCCCCGCTGCTCCCGCCTGTGCATGTCGGGTCGCCGGATTACACACGCTCGGGTGCCCCGGCACATTTGGATTTCGGATCAGCAACGACGACGTGTTGCAGTATGAGCCTGTTCCAAATATCGCAGGGGACATAGTGTAGTAAAATATCTCGTTGTTTGTCTGAAATTCAGGTTTACCTGGGCGTCCTGCGCTGGCGTTTGCCGAGTCTCGCAGCACCAGCCGGGTGAGACGTGGTCAGCGCCGCGTCTCCAGACGCCGGTGAGACCAGGGTCCCCTCCCGGGAGGGGACGGCGTCGCCTCCTGGAACCCGTGTCGCGACCGCCCTCGGCGGAGGTGGCCTGCGCTTGGAGCGGGAGGCGGCCGCTTCCGTCCGTCGCAGGCGCCCCGGGCCGGGTCAAGGCGAACCAGAGAAACCGCGTGTCCCCTCCCGGGCGCACGGAAGCGTCGCCTCTTTGACAAATCGACCCGCCAGCAAGAACTGACGCACCGGGTCCCCGTGACCCGTCACCAGCGGAGCGGACCCCACCGCCTGGCCCAGGACGCCGCAGCCCGGGCGGCGACAAGGCGCGGGCTGGCGACACAGACGCGGAGCGCAGGAGGCGCCGGGAGGAGGGGGACAGAGGGCCGGAGGCCGAGCTGCCCGGCTCCCGGCGTCGCTCCCGGAGCCAGAAGGACGAATGTGGGCTGGACCAGCCCACGGTGCACAGGCGCACGCGGGCCTCCGGGCCGTGGGGACCTCGAACCCTCAGAGCGACGTTTTAAAAGATTAGAATACATGAGTCTCATACAAAGATGGAATGAACACACGGCAAAGATTTCTCTAACTGGCTAATGAGGAAGCAGCGGGATGGTGCCGGGGTCAAGCACCAGCGTTTGTCGATGGTGTCTAGATGACTCCATGGTGCCCGGGGCGGTGGGGGGAGGGGGGTGGCTAGGACCGCGCTTGTCCAAAGTGCAGACCGAGAACCAGGATCATCTGCGGGATGCTGGAAATGCAGACTCTGGATCTCCGAACTAGCACCCGCACCTAACAGGGACCTCTGTGAACGCTGGAGGCGCTCAGGGCCCAGTGATCTAACGCTGCCCTTGATGCTCCTGGAGAGATGACGACGTACCAGACTCTGCTCTCATTAGGGTGACCACCATCCCCTTCTGCCCAGGACTGAGTGTACTCATGGGATGCGGGGCTTTCTATGGCAAAAACTGGGAGTGTCCTGGGCGAACCAGGAGGAGCTGGTCACCCTGGCTGTGTTCTGGCTGCACCCACCTTCCTTCATTGAAACCTGCCCATCAGCAGTGCCTGAGCTGACCCCCTATACCTCCCATGCAGGCTCCTTCCCTGGTTCTCACCACTTCTCCTTTCTGCCCCCGCCCCTTCCTGCCCAGGTCAGTCACTCATCCTCCCTTGCCAGCCTCAGCGATAAGACCCAGTTCCCGTCCTTCCTTCGGACCCTGGCTAGTGACCTCACGTCCTCCCGCCTGGTGGCCCAGCTTGTCCACTTCGGATGGTCCTGGGTGGGCATTCTGGCCCAGGACGATGACTACGGGCAGCAGAGCAGCTCACTGGTGATCCAGGAGCTGGGCCAGGCAGGCATCTGCATTGAGTTCCACCTCCACGTCCCCTCCCAGCCGTCCCTGGAGAAGACGGAAGCCCTCGTCCGGGAGATGGGCCGCTGCACCGCCACTGGCATCATCGTCTTCGTGAGCAACTTGAGTTTCCAGATCATCCTGCAGGGCTTGCTGGGCCAGGGCATCTCGGGCCGGGTCTGGGTCAGCCGGGAGACGCTGCACGCTGCTCTGGCCCTGAGCATCCCCGGCGTGTCCCAGGTCCTGCAGGGCTCCTTCAGCCTTCTGCAGCGCACCAGCCAGGTCCTCGGGTTCCCCGAGTTCTTTGCTCGCCTGCACCCTGCCCGGACCCCAGAGGACATGTTCATAGAGAGATTCTGGGAGGTCACCTTCAGATGCACGTGGCCCCGTGGGAGCCGAGGGCCAGTGGGAAACAGCTCGGTGGCAGGGGGCATCCGGTTCTGCTCTGGGAACGAGAGCCTGATAGGTTGGGAGTACCCCTTCCAGGACGTGGTTAAACTGGATGTCGGGTACCCGGCCGTCTACAGCATCGCCCACGCCCTGCAGGACCTGGGCACCTGCGAGCAGGGGGACGGGACATGTGCAGACCCTTGGCACTTCCAGCCCTGGCAGGTGAGAGGGGACCCTGTGGACGCTGCAGGGCGGTGCTGGGAGCAGGGGGCTCACTCTGCCCCAGCGAGGGAGAAGCACAGAGATGGGGCTGTTCAGTGAGGATGAGCAGCGGAAGCCACACGGCTGGGGTGCTGGGGCAGAGGGAATGTGGAGGCTCCCTCTGGGAGTCAGGATGGCGAGACAGTAGAGGCCAGGTTGGGTAGGCCCTACAGGGGTCTGGACTCTGCTTGGGGTGTCATGGGGGGCTGAGGAAGGGAGTGCATGACCAGACAGAGTCCCTGGAGCTAGGGCCGCACTGTAACTTTCGCAGGTCCCTTCAGCCATTAAAAAAATATTAAAAATTATCTTTTACTACTGCATTGCTGTCAAAGCTAACATAATCTGGGCTGGATTTGTTATTATATATTAATTATTACTTAATCTGTTTTATCTTCCAATTTTACAAGAAGTTAAAATTAAAATATTTTCATGGGCCCCTGAGAGTACAGTGGGCCCTGTGGATAAGTTGGCCCTGCCTAGTCACTGGCCTGAGGCATTTTGGACAGACCCCAGGGATGGGCCCTGGCCAAACTACGGCATCACCCTTCCTTCCCTAGCTTCTGCATCCCCTCAGGAAGGTGCATTTCAAGACCGTTGATGGGACAGAGATTGTCTTTGATGCCAATGGAGATATGGTTACAACATTTGACCTTCTTCAAGGGCAGAAGACCCCTGAAGGCCTGTTCCGCTTTGTCCGAATAGGCATACTCAACCCACAAGCTTCCTCAGGGCAGAGCATGATGGTCCAGATGATGAAGGAGGACTTCCAGGTGAGTTGTCTGGGTGCACGGATGACCCCAGTCCTGGCATATTAAAATCGGAGGAGAACTCAGAGACCAGAGGTCCAAGTTGCTATTTGATGCATAAAGTGGGTGGAGCTTTAAATTGGGCCAATCATAACTCAGCTGTGTTGTTGAGCCATACCAGACCCTCATATTAGGGGATAAAAGTCATTTATTCACCATCAAAAATGAAAATATTGGAGCCCCTGAAGTTGAAGTAGAGTCTGCATCAGGAGTTACCACTTGAGTATCTTCTTGTCTGTCCTCGGGGACCTGCTCAGTGAGGAAGTGGGGCCTTTACTTCCTCCTCTGGGAAGACAGGAATCCCCCTCACCAAACACACCCCATCCAGCATCTGGAGGGGGCAGGACAGGTGTTCTCATTTCATTTAGTAGCAAAGTTAGTTGCCACCTTAGGATGGGTGTGTCCAGGTGTCCACTCTGGCCCACGGACTCCTCTGGGCCGCCTGGCACCATCAGTGGACGTGTGACTCCCTCCACTGCAACTTCATCTTCCCGTGTCCTCAGCGCCTCCAGTCAGTGTTGGCCTTTAGGTTTTCCAGTGAGAGTCAGGCTCTGGTCTCTGGGCCCCTCAAGCCCAGGGGACACAGGCTAAGCATCCCGAGGAGTCTTGTGAAGTCTCTTTCCATTGGCCTGAGCCACGGAGGGCCCTCTGCTCCCCTCTGGAAGTGGGGAACCCAGCACCCACACTTCTCTTAGGTCTGTTCCCCCCAGGTTCCCTCCCTACAACTCTTACCCAGAGGCAGCAGGTGGACTCAGGGAGGCAGAACTGTGGAGGGCTGCTGGCTGGGATCAGCACCAACTCTTCTTACTGTGGGAACCTCAGAGAGGCTGGAAGGGTGCCCTTTCATGCCATGTTCCAGAGCTTTCCCACGTCAGCCAGGTGAGCACCACCTGAGGGTTTACTGCATTTGCTGTATCCATGGGTGCCTCTCGACTCTGACTTCTCTGTAACTGAGGTGTTTTTTCTCCTGAAAGGAGCCTCATCTTCTTGTGGGTGGGAAGGACACTGGGACTGCTTCCTTAGGTTGTTCCAGCACGGGGACCTGTGCCCTGTGCCCTGGACTGGTTGCCAATGACACCCTCTGCTCCTCTGTCCTCAGGTCCCCAGCTCTGCCTGCAGCAAGAGCTGTGCTCCAGGATCCAGCCAGATCATGCGCCAGGGAGCCCCTCACTGCTGTTTTGACTGCAGCCCCTGCCCCGAGGGACACTTTGCAGACCAAAGAGGTAAGGGCTCGCAGAGGCTGAATCTAGAGAGGCCATCAAGGCACCTCCAGTCTCTCAAATCCCCAATCCAGTGACTTGTTCTGTGGACTTTGTGTGGACTTTGGACGGGGGCTGCTGTGGAGTGGTAGAGGGCTGGCCAGGAAGTCACTCTTATAATTATTTTTACGTAAACATTTTATTGAACTATAACAGGCAAATACATGAATCCTAAGTGTGTAGCCCGATGAATTCTTCCTTAGCGAACGCCCCGGGTACCTGGTCCCCAGATGGAGAAACAGAGCCTGACGCCCCCTGGAGTCCCTGGGGCCCCTGCTCAGTCTTTGCTTCCCAGGGAACTGCCTTCTTAACTTCTATGAACATTGATGGGTTTTGATTCCTATAAGTGGACTCGCAGAGTGAATGTTCTGTTGTGCCTCATTTTTCCTCCACCTTGTGTTTGTGAGATTCACCTCAGCAGTATGTGTAGTCGTGGCTCTCCCAGTCTTGTGCCTGGTATGACCCCCCAGTGTAGACACACCATGACTTGGCCGGCAGGAGCTGTAGAGAGCAGTGCTGCTGTGGATGCCGCTGGCCATGTCTTCTGGGGACACATGGATGCATTTCTGCTGTTGTGGCACTGCCGGACCACAGGGTGGATGAACGTTTGGCTTTAGTGGACTACAAGTGTCAGCAGCACCCACTTGCTCTCTGTGTTCATTTCTTGCAGCTGCTGCAACAAATTACCACAAGCTAAGTGGCTTAAAACCACACACATTTATTATTTCATAGTTTCTGTTGGTCAAAAGTCCATGTACAGTGTGCTTCATCTGGATCCTCTGCTTAGTGTCTCACAAGGCTAAAATCAAGGTGTTGGGAGGGCTGTGATCTCTGCTGATGGCTCTGGAGAAGAACCTCCTTCCCAGCTCATTCAGGTCATTGGCAGAATTCAGCTCCTTGCAGTTGTAGGATCAAGGATCCCATTTCCTTACAGGTTGTCAGCTGGGGCATCATTCCCAGCTTCTAGAAGCCATTGCATTCCCTGCTCCCTCCATCTTCAAAGTCAGCAATCTCCCCGACCTTTTCTGCCCCACTGCTCTGCCCCCCTCCCCTCCTCCCAACTTTTAAGGGCTCATGTGATGATTTTGGACCCCTTTGGATAATCCAGGATAGTCTCCCCATCTCAAGATCCTTAACTTAACCACCCCTGCAAAGCCTGCCTTGCCACATGCGGTAACATGTTCACAAGTTCCAGGGATCGGGGTGTGGACATCTTTGGGGGAAGGGGCATTATTCTTCCTCCCACCGTGACCATCCTCACCAGCCCTCTGGGTGTTGGGTCTTTTTATTTCAGCCATTCTGGGTGGGCATGTAGCGCTATCTCACTGTGGTTCAGAGCAGTAATTTTAAGTAATCTCCAAAGGAAGGGGGGCAGAATTGGTGAGAATTGCTGTATTAGTTCGCTGGGGCTGCCATAACAAAATACCACAGACCGGGTGGCTGAAACAACAGACATTTATTTTCTCACAGTTCTGGAGGCTAGAAGTCCAAGATCAAGGTGTTGGCAGGTTGGTTTCTCCTGAGGCCTCTCTACTTGGTCTGCAGATGGCTGTCTTCTCACACTGTGTCCTCACCTGGTCACCCCTCTGTGCATGCCTGTGTCCTAATCTCTTCTTATAAGGACACCAGTCATGTTGGACTAGGGCCCACCCTGCTGACTTTATTTTACCATAATGACCTCACCTCTGATTTACTATCTTCAAATACAGCCACATTCTGAGGTACTGGGGGTTAGGAGTTCAACATGGGAATTTTGGGGGATCTTAAGTCAGCTCATAACACTTGCTAATAAGAACAGTTACTGCTACTACCTGGAAAAAATTTAACTATTTAAAAAATAACATAACTCGTGTATAGGCGTGCATTTTTCCTTGTGCCTCTGGTGCTGACATGGCCCATCCCCGCACTGATGACTATGAATAATTCACAAATGTAGGGGATTTGGTGTAAGACAGGACGAGAATAGTTGATAGCACTGTATAAGTGAAATTTGCTAAGAGAGTAGAACTTAAACGTGGTCACCAAAAAAAGAAAAAGAAGAAAAATATTCGAGGCGATGGATGTGTTAACTAGATTTCACAGTGTGTATGTATATCAAATCATCACGACGCAATATAGTAAATATCTTATAATTTATTTGCCAACTATATGTCATTAAAGCTGAAAAAAGGCAAAACTGCTTCCGCGGCAGTCACCTTGCACGCGGTCCTGTGTCCCCGCAGACATGGCGCGCTGCCTCCCGTGCCCCGGCGAGCAGGCGCCCAGCCCGGCGCGGGACGGCTGCCGGCCGCTGCCCGAGATTTTCCTGAGCTGGCGCGAGCCGCTGGGCCAGGCGCTGGCGGCGGGCGCGGTGGCGCTGGCGGCCGCGGCGCTGGGGACGCTGGCGCTGTTCCTGCGGCGCCGGCGCGCACGCGCGGTTAGGGCGGCCCACGGCGCGCTCAGCCGGGCCCTGCTCGGCGCGCTGGCGCTCTGCTCCCTCAGCGCGCTGCTCTTCCTCGGCCCGCCGCGCGCCGCCACCTGCCTGCTCCGCTGGGCCGCCTTCGCCGTGGTCTTCGCCGTCGCCGTGTCCTGCGTCCTGGCCAAGACCCTGGCCGTCGTGCTGGCCTTCCGAGTCACCAGGCCAGACGACCCACTCCGCGTGTGCCTGGGCCCCCGGGCCTCCGCCGCGGTCGTGCTGGGCGCCTCGTCGCTGCAGGTGCTGCTCTGCGGGCTCTGGCTGAGCATCTCCCCGCCGGTCCCGCAGAGGGACACGGCCTCCGAGCCCGGCCACGTGGTCGTGCGGTGCCAGGAGGGCTCCGGCGCCGCCTTCTACTGCATGCTGGGCTACCTGGGCCTCCTGGCGGCGGTCACCCTCTCCGTGGCCTTCCTGGCCAGGCGTCTGCCCGCTGCCTTCAACGAGACCAAGCTGCTCACCCTCAGCATGCTGCTCTTCTGCAGCGTCTGGACGGCCTTCCTGCCCCTGTACCACAGTGCGCGCGGCAAGGCCACCGTGGCCGTGGAGGTCTTCTCCATCCTGGCCTCCACCGCAGGGCTGCTGGGCTGCATCTTCCTCCCCAAGTGCTACATCATCCTGCGGAGGCGCGAGCAGAACGTCCCGGCCCGGTTATGGCGTGGATGCGGGCCAAGCGGGGAAGGCAGAGCCAGGAGCTCCCGGGCAGCTGTGTCCCCAGGCCCCTGCCACAAACCCTCCTGAGCCTGTCCTCGCTGAAGAAGCCAGGGCCACAGGATCTGGACTCATTGTTTTTCTGCCGCTTAAAAGAGATTAAGAGATGAAGCACAGAAAGCGGGATGTTAATGACTGCTAGATCAAGATGTGAGCAAGTGGATGGTCACCGCCTATTCTCTTTGTCTATATTGTTTAAATTATCCACAACTTAAAAAGTTTGAAAAAAGCCTATGATGCAATAATGATAATCTTAAAGATAATAACAAGTGTTGGTGAGGATGTGGGGAAGTTGAAACCCTCATCCACTGCTGGTGGGAACGTCAAATGGTGCAGCTGCTTTGGAAAACAGTCAGCACTTCTCCAAAAGGGTCCAGGTAGAATTAGCATATGACCGAGTAATTCCACTCTTAGATGGGCAGACGAGAGAAATGAAAACGTACGTCCCCACAAAAACTTGTGCACAAATGTTAAGAGCAGCCAAAAAGTAGAAACAACTCAAATGTCTGTCAACTGATGAATGGGTAAACACAATATGCCACATCCATACAATAGGATGTTATTTGACAACAAAAAGGAATGAAGTACCAACACAGGCTATACCAAGGATGAACCTTAGAAATATGCAAGTGAAGGAGGCCTGTCACAAAAGACCATACACTGTATGCTTTCATTTATATGAAATGTCCCAAAGAGGCGAATCCATACAGTTGGTGGGTGGTTGCCTAGGCCTCGGGGGAGGAGGGATTGGTTGGTGATGGCTAAGAGTGCAACCTTTCTTTTTGGCATGAAGAAATAATCTAACATTGATTGTGGTTTATGGTTGCACAACTGTCTGAATATGCTAAAACCCACTGAATTTACACTTTAGGTGAATTTTGTGGTATGTGAATTATATCTCAATAAAGCTGTTACCAAAAAACAAAAAGAGGATCAATTACAAAGTGTGGTCTTTCGTTATATCCTAATTTTTAAAAAGATGAAACTATTAAAAAAATTGAGATAATTATAAGTTGGAATACTGAAGATTCAATGGAGTAAAGAAATTATTTTTCTAAAATTTTAATGGGATTATGCTTATGTTAGAAAACAGTCCTTATCTTTTGGAACTATGTATTGTAGTTCAAATGGTATAGTGTTTGGGGTTTGCTTGCAAATGATACAAAATGGCAGAGTGACTGGGGGAACACTAGCCCTAGGTGGATGGTCATTGGGACTACATTATGGAGACCTAGAGGCTCAATGTTCTCCGCTGTCTGCTTTTGTGTGTGTCCAAAATTCTCTATAATAAATGGTTTTGAAAATTCCTTAAAGAACCACAAAGAAGAGCATAGAGAACACGGATTGGTGAATCCACCTTGTACAGAAAATGGCTGTACAAATGCATGGGATCCACAGTCATGCAGGGTGTGAAAAGTGTGTGGGAACCATCTCCCTTGAAGCACTAGGTTCAGACTCAGAGCTCTGGGAGACGCCCCATTCTGAGCAGAAGAAATGCCTCACTTCCAGCACATACGCCCAGCCCAGAGGGGCTCCTGCTCAGAGACGTGAGAACAGGCCTACAAGAAAAGGTAGTCCAAGGCTCCATCTCCAAATCCGTTCCCAAATCTAGATTTTGCTTTCAGAATTGTATTGACAGTTCTAGTTGTTAGCAGAGGAAAGTTCTCCAAATTTAATCATCATCATCCAAGAAAAAAGTGACCCAAGCAAGGTTATCCAATTTTACATTATTGCCAAGAGAACATAAATGATGTGAAAATCTCGATTATAACAACATAATTAGTGATTTGGCTGGAAAACCCCATAAATTACATTTTACGGAAGAAATATCTGATGATTTATGAATGATGCCTGCTGTCACCACCCACCCAAGAAACAGAAACACCCGGACGTGGACATAACATTTAAGTACCGTCTTTGTCCCATATAAAAAGCACATCGCGTGGGGGGCCAGCCCGGTGGTGTAGTGGTTACGTTGGAGTCCTCCAATTCGGTTCGCAGGTTTGGGCACCCCGGTGTGGACATACACACCGCTCACCAACCCACGCTGTGGCGGTGTCCCATATACAAAATAGAGGAAGATTGGTACAGATGTTAGCCCAGCGACAATCTTCCTCACCAAAAAAGAAAAGCACATCGCGACCTTTACTCTTATTTCATCCCCAGGAACGTGTACTGTGAATGAAGCATCTTTGACAGCAGCGCGGACGACCGGTGCCCTCAGATGCCCCACGCGCTGCTGCAGAGCCTTCTGAGAGGTGTAGTCCCCACCTCCAGCGCAGGACACTCCCAGGGCCTGGGGACATGGACTACAGCTCCCAGAAGATCTTGTTCCTAGGCAACGCCGACTTTCTGGGGCCTCCCACTGCTTCCCTCCATCGGCCGGAGAACCGCACCGCGGAGCCTTCTGGGAGATGTAGTACTAGGCTCTAGATGTCCAAGCGCGCCGCCCGCTGGACACGACTAGCGTAACTCTAAATCCCTTTAAGTCCTAGAATTCTCATCCCGAGGCTTCCTGGATTCTTGGAACCGCCGACCGCGCGCTTCTGGAGGTCAGGACGGCCGCTCAACGGTAATTTCTTGGAATCATAGTGAGATAAATCTACCTGAGCCCAGCATAGGCCAGGCCGGGGACCCTGCACTACAATGTAGTCCCGGAAGGCCCCGTCCCCAGAACTGGCCCAGTTGCGCACGCCCATTGGAAGGCCACCCTCACCGCCGCGCCTTCTGGGAAATGTAGTCTGGCTCCTCCGGCCCTCAGTGGCTGGACAGATCTAGGGCTCGGGCCGTAGGTCTACAACTCCCAGAACCGCCACCGCGGCTGCGTCCCCACGCTCCAGGCTTCTCGCCGCGCACTCCCATTGGTCAGAAGGCCGCGCCACGGGGCCTTCTGGTCACGGTAGTTCCGCTTCCCGCTCGGCACGGGGATCCGGCGGAGAGGCTTCGCTAGGTCAGGACCATCGGTTCTGTCCGAAGGCGACGTGCCCCGGGTCTCGCTCCAGGTCCGCCAGGAGAGCTGCGGGCTCCAGGCCGCGCCAAGCTGCGGAGACGCTGGACCGCTGCGGGTCGGGCCGTTCCTACGCGCCCTCCAGGCCTGCCTTGGGCGCGACGGGGCGGGCGGAGATGACAGCCGCGGGGCCAATGGCACCGCGCCACCCGGTGAGTGGCGCTCCCCCTCCGCCGAGCGGGTTCGCGTCTCCTCCATGCCGGGCGCGGTGACTCCTCCACCCGTGAGCCTGGGGCCGACATCGCGCCTTCCTCCAAGCTTCCCCCCGGCCCGCCGTCTGTCCCAGGAGGGACGCAGACGAGGGGAGACCTGCCTGGGCCTGCGACCCTCAGTGGATCAGTCAAGTCCCGCAACCACTAAAGGTCCCATCACAGACCTCCGGGCAAGAAAGTGCCTGGCCTGGACGGCTTCAGCCGCCACGCCGGCAGGGACATGGTTCCGGCCGCGACGGCGTCCGAAGCGGTTGCCTCTAGCAGGGAGCACCTCTCAGTTGGTTCTAAGGGAGACGGCACGCTGCTCCGAGCTCAGCTGCCTCATGTGAAAATCCAAAAAGCAGACCCCGGGAGGTGGGAACCGCTTCCTGACTGTGGTGAGGATTCAGCGAACTTCCGTGAGGCAGAGAGCTTAGTACCGTTCCCGGCCAGCCAGGGAAACCCGGGGCAAACGTTAACGTGGTTAGCGGCAGATGTTAACATTTTCATCCTTTTGTTCCTGGTGGTGTAAAAAGGAAGGGGTATCCCAAAGGGGACTGTAGGTGTCCATCTTATGGAAGATAAGTAGGTGATCAAGAAATGGGCGGGATTCTTAGGGGGTAAACATTTTGAGGTTATGGTGGCTCCTGTCTGAAACGGCTGATGCAGACCCCCGGTGGCCCCAGGAAGGCTCAAGTGTATCCCTCGGGAGCCAGAACCCTTTCACGACGTCTCCCTGCACACCTGGGCCTGTGCTCAAGTTCTTTGTGGGCCCCTCTCCCTGCGCCTGCGGGAGCTTTGCGGACATAACGGTCTTGGCTCAGCAGTTAGGGGGCTGACATTTCAGGAGCAGGTAACCTTCGATGACGTGGCTGTGGACTTCACCCAGGAGGAGTGGAGGCTGCTGGGCCCCGCCCAGAGGACCCTGTACCACGAAGTGATGCTGGAGACCTTTAGGCACCTGGTCGCTGTGGGTGAGGCTGGGACCTGTGTGGAATTCTGTCTGCTTGGGGTCTCTGCAGAGTGGGTCTGACCTGGCTGGGAGCGTGGGATCACTGAACCCTAGGAGGACTTCTCCTCCAAACCTGACGGCCTGATCTCTCACTTGGACAGGGCCTGGGATCCCCAAGCCACATATCGTTGCCCAGCTGGAGCTCGGGGTAGAGCCATGGAGGATGGACAGAGGACTCTCTCAAGATCCCTGCCCGGGTGAGATGGGGAAAGGAGCTTTACAGTCAGTGTTTATATTTTCCTTCTTCTCTGCCCTTCCTTGTACTTTTCATTGCCTTTGGCATTTCTGTAATTCCATCTGGGATCATTTTCCTTTTGCCTGAAGAGCTCCCTGTATCATTTCGTTTAGAGTGACAAAATTCCCCCACTTTGTGTTTGCCTGAAAATGACTTTGTTTCCTCATCATTTTGGAAAGACACTTTAAGCAGAGAATTTTAGGTTGGCAGTTGTTTCTTTTTTCAGCACTTGCCACCATGCTGTTGTCTTCTGGGCTCCATGTTTTCTGTTGAGAAGTCAACCCTCCATCTTGTTATTGTGGCTTTTTATTTTTTTGCTAACAGAACTTTCTTAAATGCACAAATTTTAAGTGTACAATCAAAAACTTTTGACAACTGTATACACATGTATCATTGTCACCCAAATCAAGCGTGAGGACATTTTCATTATCTCACAAAGTTCCTTTGTTACTTCTTTGCCTTTAACAAAGGCAACTACTGTTCACATTTTTTTTTCCACCATAGACTACTTTGGCCTCTTCTAGACCTTCATATAAAGAGAATCATACATTATTTCTCTTGTGTAAGGCTTACCTTAACATTTCTGAGATTCATCTGTGTTATTGTATGCATTATAAGCCTGTTCCTTTTTACTGCTGAATAAAATTCCACTTTTCGTGGGGTTTTTTTGGTTTTTTGTTTGAGGAAGATTAGCCCTGAGCTAACTACTGCCAATCCTCCTCTTTTTGCTGAGAAACACTGGCCCTGAGCTAACATCCGTGCCCATCTTCGTCTACTTTATATATGGGACACCTGCTACAGCATGGCTTTTGCCAAGCAGTGCCATGTCCGCACCTGGGATTGGAACTGGTGAACCCTGGGTTGCCAAGAAGCGGAACATGCGAAGTTAACCCCTGTGCCACTGGGCCGGCCCCCTCTGTGGATTTCTTACACAATCATATCATCTGCAAATAAAGATTGTTTTTCTTCTCTAATGTTATTATACTGGCTAGGATCTCCAGTACTTAAAAAAAATTAATTTGTAATTAACATACAGTGAAACCTGATGTTCTTAAGAGCAGTCCAATGAAGATTTATAAATGTATATATTCGTGTGACCCATCCTCCAATCCACACGCAGAATATTGCCATTTTCCCATATGTTTCCTTTGGGTCCCTTTCCAGTTAATACCCTGCCATGTGGCAACCATTGTTCTGATATCTGTCACCCTTGACTATCCAGTACAGTATTGACTAAAAGTGATGCGAGTGGACGTCCTTGCCTTGCTCCTGGTATTAGGTGATAGCATTCAATACTTCACCATTAAGTATGATCTGATGCCCTTTATCAGAGTGAGGAACTTCTATTCCTAATTTGCTGAGTTTTTTTCATGAATGGGTGTTAAAATATAACATCAAATGCTCTATTTGCTTCTATTAGCATGATTGTATTTTTTTTTTCGTTGTTCCATTGGTTTCCGCTCTTTCTAATTTCCTTTCCTTGTCTTGGTTTAATTTGCTTTCCTTTTGTCTGGCTTCCTGAGGTAAAAGCTTAGGTCATTAATTTTAATCCTTTCTTTCTAATATTTGCAATTATAGCTGTGCATTTTCCTTTCAGCCTTAATTGCATCCTGCCCATTTTTGAACTGAACAATAATGAAAATACAACACATGAAACTGATTTCTTCTTTGGTTTGTGAAGTGCATTGTTTAATTTGATTTCTTTTATTGATGTCTAGATTAATTCCATTGTGGTTGAAGGACATATTCTGGATGAATTCAGTCTTTTTAAATTTATTGAGAAATGTTTTTATCACACCACATATGGTCTATTTTGGTGAATGTGTATTCTGCTCTTATTGGGTGTGGCATTAGGTAAATGTCAATTAAGTCAAGGTGCTTAATTGTGTTGCATACACTTTATTCTTTTTTTTTTTTTTTTTTTTTGAGGAAGATTAGCCCTGAGCTAACTACTGCCAGTCCTCCTCTTTTTTGCTGAGGAATCCTGGCCTTGAGCTAACATCCGTGCCCATCTTCCTCTACTTTATACGTGGGACTCCTACCACAGCATGGCGTGCCAAGCGGTGCCAAGTCTGCACCCGGGATCCGAACCAGCGAACCCCGGGCCGCTGAGAAGTGGAACATGCAAACTTAACCGCTGCGCCACCGGGCCAGCCCCCATACACTTTATTCTTATGGATTTTCTTGTGTGCTTCTTCTATCAGCTACTCAAAGAAGTGTTAAATCTCCAACTATGACTGGATTTGTTTATGGGTTTTTTTAAAGTCAGTTTTTGCTTCGTGTATTTTGAAGCAATGTTACTGGGATTAATGACAAGTCAGGTTGTTATGTCTTCCTGTTGAATATACTCTCTTATCACTGTGAAATGTCCTTCTTTTCCTCTGGTAATATCTCCTGTCTTGATGTTTACTTTACTTGATCTTAATATAGCCAACTGGCTTTCTTGTAGTCAATGTACTGCATTATATGTCTTTTTCTGTATTTTTAGTTTTGGCTTATCTGTAGAAATGTTAAAGTAAGTCTCTTGTAAACAGCACTTAATTGAGTTTTGTTTGTAATCCGTTTTGTCTGTCTTATTCTTTAATATGACAGTTTAGTAAATGTCTGTTTAGTGTATAATTACTGATATGTTTGGGTGTATGTGTACCACCTTGTTATTCTCTACTTGTCTCAGCTGGTCTTTATACCTTGGTTTTTCCATTCTACCTTCTTTTGGATTAATTGGATATTATTTAATATTCCATTTCCCCTTTTTTCCTCCTTTCTTAGCTTTATGTCTGGTAATAGAGTCATGCGCCACTTAATGACGTTGCAGTCAACAACAGACGGTATATACAATAGTGGCCCCATAAGATTAGCACCATATAGCCTAGGGGTGTAGTAGGCTAAACCATCTAGGTTTGTGTAAGTACACTCCACGATGTTTGCACAATGACAAAATCACCTAACGACACGTTTCTCAAAATGTATCCCAGTTGTTAAGGAACACATGACTGTATTGTGTAATCTTATATCTTACTTGCTTTAAGGTTAACAATACAAATCTTTGACTTATCAAAGTCTACCTGGAATTAGTATTATGCCACTTAGTGTACAATGTAAGAGTTGCAGTTTTCCCTGTTGCCATGTATTTCACTTCTACATATTATATAAGGCCCATTATGCGTTGTTGTTATTCTTGTTTTATACAGTCAACAGCATTTTAAAGGAATTTAAAAGTAATTCTGTCTAATATTTTTTCCTAATTAATTAGTTTTTGCATTGTTCTTGATTCTTTTCTGCAGATCCAGGCTTCTATCTTTGATCATTTCCATTCAGTCTAAAAAACACCTTTCCTACAGAGCCTCTCAGATAACGTCTGTCATCATTTTAAAGTCTTGGCTCCTTTTGGACTTTCTTCTTCTGTCATTCTTGCCTGGATGAGGCTCCCATGTGTGTTTCAGTGCTGCCTCCAAGGCAGGTCAGTTCACAGACTGTTCTTCAGACAGCACAGAAGATAGACAGGGAACAAATGAATGAAATTAGAACTCATGGTTAAGTTCCCTTGTTCCTTTTTAGTAAGTCTTTAATATGTGCTCGATAAAAAAGTTACATTTTAAAAATTGGAATTGGTTTTCATGTATATCTTTCCCCCAGAGACAGTCGTTTAGAGTGCTTTACTAGCCCTCTTTATCATAACATTGAAGTATGTACTGAAATATTTTAAAAATATGATAACCAATGTCAAAATCATAAGATTTTCTCTATAGGTCGTGCCTTGAACACTAAGTATCTGTTAGGATGAGGTCTGCATTATCACCATTTCTGGCTTCTCTATTGTCAGTTCGCATTACTAACTTGGTAAATATTTATTATGTGCTGAGTTACACATGTCTAACAGATGTAACAGGCGAGATTTCAGTGCTTCACAAATACCGCTACCCACCTTACTCCTCTTAGTAATCGTTCTTGTGCTGATTAGGTTCTAGCTTTCTTACTTAACATCACATATCAGTAATTTCTTCCCAAGACCAGACCCCCATTATCCAGGTTGAGTTTGAGGCAGACAGTTACAATAATTGACACTTTACTTATACACATGGTGAGTGTCAACCATTATGTGTTGATTTTACTAGATGAGCTCTCAGAGGGTGACCTTATTCTAAAGTTTTGAGGTTACCTTACTGTCACCATAGAGTATTAGCAACAGAAATTGCCTGTAGATAAAAAATTAATATTGAAGGTGGTTGATTCAAGAACTGGAAGAATTTTTTTTTGAAAGATAATAAAATTAAAAAGTTAACGTTATAAATTTCAGACCTTAGGGATAGAATATTTGCTAGGAAATACACGTACATACCTACACTCCTGCTATTACAGTTGGTCTGTTATGAAGGATAATGGTGGGTGGGGAGAGGCTTCCAGTTAGACATGTAATATTTTAAAATCCAGGTTATGCAGACGTTTGATAGAAGCCAGCAATAGTAAGAGATATTGGCCAAAAAGATAGAGGGTCAAGGGTTAAAAGACTTAACATCAACTCATGGCTTTTCCACTGGTTAGTTAAATGATCTTTGGTTTCAGGTACCTGCTCCATTGTTCAGTTTCATCATCGGAATGATCTTAGTTACCTCTCAGTTCTAATGTTATTTCATGTGAGTATAGAGTAGAGCAATAGGGAATGAAATACTCAATGTAAAAAAAACACACTGTGGTATTTCTTGTAGTACACTCAGATGGTGAAAAACTCTCTCCACTTTTTTTGGCCTAAAAACGTCTTTTTTTTAGCTTTCCTTTTGGAAGGCTTTTTTCCTGGATATAGAATTTTAGGTTTTTCTCTTTCAGCCTTGAAGATGCTAGTCTCTTGTCTTCTTGCTTCCATTGTTTCTCTTGGGAAGTTAGCTGTTTTTCTTTTTGTTGTTCCATGAATGTAATCTCTTGTTTTTTTCTCATCACTTTTAGGATTTTTGCTTTATATTTGGTTTTCAACAGAGTGATTATGATGTTTTACGTGAGGTCTTCTTTGAAATGATTCTGCTTAGAGTTTGCTGAACTTCTTGGATCTGAAGGATGTTGCCTGTAATCAATCTAGGAAAATTCTCTGCCATTATATCTTCAAATATGTCTTCTGCTGCTCTCTATCTCCTCTCCTGTAACTCTAGCTACACCTTAGTCCAGTTGTCAGATGTTATGTTTTTACATTCTTTTCTCTCTTTTTGTATCATGACAACGTTTCCTTTTACCTGCCTTTGAATCACAGATCCTTTCTTCTCCTGTGTCCAGCCTACTGTTAAGTCCATTCATGGTTTACTTCAGATACTGTATTTTTATTTAGTTTTAGAATTTTCATTTGGCTCTTTTTTCAGTTTTCGATGAAATTATTTATCATGTTTGTAATAGTAATTTTAAAATCTTTTTCTGTTACTTCTGATGTTTGGTATGTCTGTTTTTGTTGACTTTTTTTTCTTGATTATGAGTCATATTTTCCTGGTTCTTTACATGTCTGGTCTTTTTTTTTTTTTTTTTTTTTTTTTGAGGAAGATTAGCCCTGAGCTAATATCCGCCACCGATCCTCTTTTTGCTGAGGAAGACTGGTCCTGAGCCAACATCCGTGCCCATCTTCCTCTGCTTTATATGTAGGATGCCCACCACAGCATGGTGTGCCAACTGGTGCCATGTCCGCACCCGGGATCCAAACTGGTGAACCCCAGGCCACCGAAGTGGAACGTGCACACTCAACCGCTGCACTACCAGGCCGGCCCCATAATCATTTTTTTATATACTTGACACTGCAGATGATACGTTGTAGAGACTAAGGCTTGTTATCTTCTACCAAAGGGTGTGAATTTTGTTCTGGGTGGCAGTTAAATTACTATGAATCACTCTAATCCTGATGAGGTATGGTTTGAGGATTTAAGTTGGTTTATGGCATGGTTTGAGGATTTAAGTTGGGGTTATTTGGTTTTCCTCTAGTCCTTGGATGTGGCCCTTATTCTTAGGCATGGCCTTTCCTCTTAAGGTGTAGCTTTCTAGGGTCTCAGCTGAAGGCCTGGGGTGCTTACTGAAGTCTTTCTGCCCTAGCTGGGCCTCATGCCTCCCAAGACTGCATAGCTTCTGAAGCCTGTGCCCAGGACTGTAGCAGCTGTTCCTTGCCAGGTCTCAGAGAGCTTTCCCCTGTGCATTTGCAGTTAGGGTCCAGCTAAGGACTCAAAAGAAACCCTCTGCAGATTTCTGGATCTTCTTCTTTGCCCTGCTTGACATTGCAAAGCCCTTCTCCTAGTCAATTCCATAGCCTTCTCCCCATGGTGGGAAACTTAAGGCCTCCCCACCTGGTGGGAGTCAGGCTGCTGGTGAACATGATCAAGTACCCAGTCTGTCAACCTCACAGACGAGTCCCAAGCACTCACAGTGCTCCAGGTGCTGTGCTGGGCACTGAGGACACACTGTAAACAGGACTGATGAGGTCCCTGCCTCTGTGGAGCCTGAGGCCTCTAGCATGTGGTCTGGGGAAGGGCAGAAAATATAGAACCAAAAGAACAAGGTGATGACAAATAGCACCAAACAGTGCTGGGAGGCAAATAGAACAATGATGATGTGGAAAGTGAGGAGGAGCCCATATTGGCTGGGAGGTCTGGGAGGGTCTCTCCGAGGCAGTGACCTGGAGTTGTGACTGGAATGATGAGAAGAAGGGGAAGGGTGTTGACACCTAAGACCTTGGGGATCAAAGGAAGGTTGTCAAGCACCCCAGAACTGTGTATTAATGGGGGAAATGGTCACACACAATGAGAATTAAAGAAACCCAGAAGGAAAAGGGACAAGCATAGCTGTAGTAGTTTGACTCTGATTCTGGGCGCGAGGGGGGCTGGATGGATCTAAAGAGGTGTTCTCTTGGCATTATGAAACTGGTTTGTTGGGAAGATTAATTCGGTGTCAATTACAGGAGGAATGGATGTTAAGTGGGGAGATAGTTCAGAATTTGGAGATATCTAAGCATTCAAGAAAGGTGAATGTGTTATCTTTGGAAATGTCTTCTTATTCTGTGATCTTTCCCCTAATGCTGTCCCCTACGCCTGCTTTGCTGATCACTCGTTTTGTTGATCAGTCTTCCTGTGGATTCCTCTTGTTCTGTGTAGACATTTTGTGGCTTCTCCTCTCACAATCCCATCTCTTCCCTTAGTTGATATTTAAAAACATCTACTCGTGTCATGTACATCTTGTTGCTTTTATCTTGTAATTCTCACTGGAGGAGTTTTTTTCCAAGCACCAAACTGTTTTACTTTCCTTCCAGAATCAAAGAACAGACTTAAAAGCCAAGAGTCACCATCAACAGAGGCCATTTCTGGTGAGGACCTACCCTGCAGCATGAACCTACCAACATCCACAATGGGTGATTCCTGGCACTCTACTGTAGATGGTGACTGGGAATCTCAGAATGAAGCAGAAAAGCAGAAGACACACAACGGCATTGTGGGGCCAATGGAATGTAAACAAGAGCAAGTAGTGACCTGGGATGAGGATTGGGAAAATGCTAAAGTTGTGGGAAAATGCAGCCTCAGTTCAAACTTGGTTTCTTCACAGAGATTTCTTATCAAAGAACAGTTCTGTCAAATTGACTTAGGAGTTCAAAGCTTACAGCATAATTTTGTTTTAAAAGATCATCAGGAAGTCTTGGTAGGAAAGAAACCTTGTAAAGGCAATCCATGTGGAAAAGCTTTAGAAAAACTGTATAAATTGAATGAGCACGGTAAATATACCAACCAGAACATATACCTTTCTACACATGAGATAATTAGTACAGGAGAGAAATTTTATGGATGTAAAGAAAGTGGGGATTTTTTTACCCAAAGCTCACACCTCTCTCAGGTCATGAGAACTCATAGTGGGGAGAAAGCCTATGAATGTGATGAATGTGGGAAAGCCTTTAAGAAGCTTTCATCTCTTACTCACCATCTGAGAAATCACAGTAGAGAGAAAGCCTATGAATGTAATGAATGTGGGAAGTCTTTCTGGCAGAGCCTTCACCTCATTTTGCACCAGAGAATTCACACCGGGGAGAAACCTTATGAATGTAATAAATGTGGAAAATCTTTTAGCCAGAATTCTCACCTGAATGTACATCAGAGAACTCATACTGGAGAGAAGCCCTATAATTGTGATGAATGTGGAAAATCCTTCAGTGGAAGGTCTAATCTTAATGTGCATAAGAGAACACATACTGGAGAGAAACCCTACAAATGTGAGGAATGTGGGAGAGCCTTCAGTGACCGCTCATCATACACACAACATGAAAGGACGCACACTGGAGAGAAACCCTACAAATGTAATGAGTGTGGAAAAGCCTTTAGCCACAGCTCTCACCTTACAGTTCACAAGAGAATCCATACTGGTGAGAAACCATATAAATGTAATGAATGTGGGAAAACTTTCAGTTTTCATTTATCCTTCACTCAACATAAGAGAACACACACTGGAGAGAAACCCTATAAATGTCATCAGTGTGGGAAAGCTTTCAGTCAAGGTTCTAATTTTATTGGGCACCAAAGAACTCATACCAGAGGGAAAAAACTACATATTTCATTTTAATGTATAAGAGCTATGCGAATATATTTAGATTTTTGACCCATTCCCAGAGAAGGGCTGAGCCTGGGTGGCATTTGATACCTAGGGAAACTGCCAATGAGAAACAATTAGTAAGATCAAAACTCCCTTCAATGATACTAGTTAATACAGTCAACCAGTGTGGGAAAGGCTGTTGCTGAGAATTCAAAATAGGTTGATAATATTAAATGAAAGTACTGTTCCAAAGAGCCAGAGTGCCATTACTTATTTCATTGTTTCCCCACTGCTAGAAAGTTAGACTGCTTCTAATTTGTTTCAAGAAGTTGCTATAGGGGCCAGCCCGGTGGCCGAGTGGTTAAGTTCGTGCACTCTGGGTTTCGCCAGTTGGATCCTGGGCATGGACATGGCACTACTCATCGAGCTACGCTGAGGTGGTGTCCCACATGCCGCAGCTAGGACCCACAACTAAAAATACACAACTGTGTACCGTGGGGCTTTGAGGAGAAAAAGGAAAGATAAAAAAAATATTGAAAAAAAAAAAGTTGCTATATGCTGTAATTATGAACACTGTGTAGAAACATGGAAAATGCCTATAATGTGTAGCGAAAGGTGCAGAATTATTGTGGCTAAGATGCCTTGTGTGTGCATTTGGACCAGGGCTTGGAAGGAAACACAGAAATGAACATAGCTAATAAGAGTCTTGGAATATTGAGTGACTTTCTTTTTTTCTAATGTTTCTCTCAAAATTGCTACAATTTTACAATAAACAAAAAGGTGAGAAGAGAGAAGTAGGTCAAATGTGAGTCTGAATCATTGGAGAGAAATGGGTGCACTAAAGTAGCAAAAAGAAGAAGAAATGGAAATAAATTTAGTGGTCAACACAAAAAGTTAGAAAAAGAAATTGTTTCTAATCAAAGCAGAAAGAAGGATGTAATAAAGATAAAAGCAGGAAATACATGGTAAAAGGTGACTGTGAGAAAAAAACACTGTAATTTCCAAACTAACATGATCAAGAACAATGACACACAGATTTGCAACATAGGGAATGAAAAAGGAAATAGAGAAAATAATATCAAAAAGTTTGTACATTTTTGTCTACAGTTGAAAATTTGCAAGGATGCAAATAACAATGATAAAAGTATATACTAGAGCAGCTGTTACAGAGTAGACAATATCCCAAGCACTCAGTCTACATAACCTCCTTTAATAGAAAAGTCTTAGTGAGGGAGATTTTATCTCCATTTTACAGACGCAGAAAATGCAGTCTAAAGAGGCTAAGTGGCAGGTAAAGATTGGCAAAGATTTAAAGACTGTTGGACATAGGCAAAAATAGTGGGGAAGTGGACCCTATTATTCAGCACCCATGCACGGTTATCTGGGTGCACTCTCTTTGTAGGATGTCCAGATGTAAAGGATGCTCTCAAGTTGATTCAGCAATCTCACCTTTGCAGTTCACTCTTGGAGATAACGGCCCACGTATGCAAGCATGCAACACAGGACCTTTGTTACAGCATAGTTCACAACAGCAAGATACTAAAGGCTCATCAACAGCAGAATGTTTAAGTAATTATGGTGCATAAATTAAATGGCAAATTTCTGGGGGACAAAATTAGGTTCATAAAACTATAAATCTCTCCCAGGGGAATTCTGTGGAAGAATGTCACCCACATGTTAACATTGCTTATGGGTGATGCGATTTTAAGCAATATTTGCTCTTTACCTCTTCCAAAATGATTTTAGTTTCTGTATAATGAATGTGTATCATGTGAATTGAAAAGAAAGTTATTTTCATCCAGAAATAATATTAAGATTGTGGAATCTAAAATTTTCATTATCACATGTTACTGGGTGGGAAATGGAATACAAGTCATTTATGTGTGTGTAGCCAGAGATGTGATCAGTGCTAGTATGGTGAGAGGTTGACCCAATATATAGAAACTGGTACATGTGTGTACATGAGAGATAGGGAGAGAGCGAGAGAGATTAAAAGTGAAAATGATTTGGGTCTGGCCTGGAGGTCTAGTGGTTAAGTTCGCACACTCTGCTTTGGTGGCCCAGGGTTTGCAGGTTTGGATCCCAGGCGCAGACCTACACATCACTCATCAGGCTATGCTGTGGCAGCGTCCCACATACAAAGTAGAGGAAGATGGGCACAGATGTTAGCTCAGGGACCATCTTCCTCAAGTAAAAAGAGGAAGATTAGCAGCAGTTGTTAGGTCAGGGCCAATCTTCCTCACCAAAAAAAAAAAAAAAAAAAAAAAAGCCAACACCATACTTCTGTTTCCAATTAAGATATAGGAGTATGTGAATGACCATAGCACCCAAAGTAACAGAGAAAAGCAAGGCAAAATTTTTAAATCATATTCTTTTATGGTACACTGCTGGAGAGGTGGAATCAAGGAAGCCTTGATGAATTCCAAAGAGAGATGTTCCCTTCCCAGGAGAGCATGCTGGGGACAAACACCTGGTTTGGGCGCAGGTGGGCATCGAGTTGGCTGGCCATTGATGGAACTACACTGCACAGTGGAGGAGAGAGCAGCAGAGCCTTTGACAACAGTGGGCAGGCAGGACTCCAAATACAAAAGTTGTTTTCTCATCCTAAGAATCCCCTCAGTCCAGAATTTTGCTGAGAATCCAGAACAGTGAAATGCTCATATCTTAGCACCATTACATCATTTTTGACAAGTGTGTATCAAGACAGAACATTTCCATTACCTGGTAAAGTTCTTTCGTGCCCCTTACCAGACAGTTCCTCCCTATACACCCAAAAGCAAAGGGTGATTTCCATCACCATGGGTTATTTTTGCTGATTCTAGAATTTCATTAGGTGAGATCATAATCATATATTTTGTGCACTTTTGTGTCTGTTTTTTTCCCTCAGCAAAATATTTTTGAGATTCATCTATATCATTGCATGCATCACTGGTTCATTCTTTTTATTACTGAGTAGTATTCCATTGTATGAATATAGCACAGTTTATCCATTCTCAGGTTGATGGAAATCTGAGCTGTTTCCAGTTCTTGGTTACCAGGAATAAAGCTGCTGTGAACATATTTATCAAGGTTCGCTTTTGTTTTTGTGGGCATATGTTTTCAATTCTCTTGGATAAATTCCTAGAAGTGAAATGGCTGGGTTATAGAGTAGATGCATGCTCAGCTTTTTAAGAAATTGTCCGTTCTCCAAAGTGGTTGTAAGACTTCATGTACATATCAGCCATGTATGAGAATTCCTGCTGCTGCACATCCTCACCAACATTTGCTATTGTCCATCTTTTTCATTTTGGCCTTTCTAGTGAGTGTATAGTGATAACTCATTGTGGCATGATGACTAATGACGTTGAACACTTTTTCATGTGCTCATTGGCCACTTGGCATGTGTTCTTTTGTGAATCGTTTATTCAAGCCTCTTGCCCATTTGTTGTTGGGTTGTCATTTTTATTATTGACTTGTAGGAGCTGTGTATATATTCTGGATACAAGTCCTTTGTTAAGCGTATGTGTTACAAAAATTTTATAAACAAAATTTTAGCAATCCAATTGAATACTGAATCCAATATTATTGAATCCAATAATATAATAAAATAATTTTAAAATAAGAAGTCATGACCAAGTGGGGTTTATCTCAGGAATGCATGGTTGGTTTAACAAAAATCAGTAAATATAATTCACTGTATTAACAAGCTAAAAAAAAAGTATATGATTACCTCAATACATGCAGAAAAAAATTTGACAAAATCCAACATCCATTCCTGATTTAAAAAACAAAAAACCAACTTTCATCAAACTTGGAATAGAAGGGATTGTTCTCAACATGATAAAGGACATCTACAAAAACCTACAGGTAATATCATACTCAGTGGTAAAAAGCTGAATGCTTTACCCCTAAGATCAGAACTTGGCAAGGATGTCTGATCTCACCGCTTCTATTCAACATTGTAATGGAGGTTCTAGCTAAGGCAGTTGGCAAGAAAATGAAATAAAAGGAATCTATATTGGAAAGGAAGAAGTAAAAACTCTCGTTATTCACAGATTACATGATCTTCAATGTAGAAAATCTGATGGAATTGATCAAAAAAACTATTAGAATAAGTGAATTTAGCAAGGTTGCAGGATACAAGATCAATATACAAAAATCAATTGCATTTCTATATACTTGCAATGAACAATTGGAAATTGAAATTTTTTTAAATATTTACCACAGCATCAGAAAATACAAAATACTTAGGGATAAATGTGACAAAAGATGTGAAGAATCTGTACATTGAAAACAAAATATCGCTGAGAGAAATTAAAGAAGACCTAAATAAATCAAGAAATATACTTGTTCATATGTCAGAAGACTCAATATTGTTAGGATGTCAATTATCCTCAAATCTATAGATTCAGTGCAATCCCAATCAAAATCCCAGCAAGACTTTTTGTAAACATGGAATCATACGGAAATGCAAAGGATTTAGAATAATCAAAACAACTCTGAAAAGAAAAAGTTGGAGAATTAACGCTATCTGATTTCAAGAATTATTATAAACCTACAGAATTCAAAACATTATAGTATTGGTATAAAGATAGACGAATAGATCAATGGAACAATATATACTCTGGAAATAAACCCATACACATACAGATAACTGATTTTTTTTTTACACAGGCACACAAGGCAATGCAGTGGAGAAAGGATAGCCTTTTCAACAAATAGTACTTACTTGGAACAAGATATCTATATCCAAAAAAAAAAAAAGGACTTTGATCCTTACCTCACAGCATATACAAAAACTAAATAAAAATGGATCATAAATCTACACGCAAAATCTAAAACTATAAAATTTATAAAAGATTGGAGGAAAAGCTTTGTGACCTTGGACTAAGCAAAGACTTTTGAGATATGACACCAAAAACACCATCCCTAAAAAACCAAACTGATAAATTGGACTTCATCAAAATTAAAAACTTCTGTGCTTCAAAAGACATGGTTAGGTGAATGAAAAGTCACAGACTGGGAGAAAATATTTGCAACACATATATCTGACAAGGGACTTGTTTCCAGTATATATAAAGAACTGTCAAAACTCAACAATAAGCACATAACCCAATTTTTAAAAACCAGGCAAAATATTTTCTTTTTCTTTCTTTTTTTCTTTTTTGAGGAAGATTAGCCCTGAGCTAACTACTGCCAGTCCTCCTCTTTTTTTGCTGAGGAGCCTGACCCTGAGCTAACATGCATGCCCATCTTCCTCTACTTTATATGTGGGACGCCTACCACAGCATGGTGTGCCAAGTGGTGCCATGTCCGCACCTGGGATCTCAACCAGTGAAGCCCGGGCTGCTGAGAAGCGGAACTGTGCACTTAACTGCTGCACCACCGGGCCGGCCCTGCAAAATATTTTCACCAAAAAAAATATGCAAATAGCAAACAAGCACATGATAAGATCTTAACCTCATTAGTAATTAGGGAAATGTAAACTAAAATCACAATGAAATACCAATACACATCTATTAGAATTGTAAAAATCAAAAAGACTAACAATACCAAGTGTTGTCAAGGATGTAGAGGAACTGGAACTCTCATACATTGCTGGTGGGAATGTGAAATGGTGCAACCACTTTGAAAAACAAATTGGTTGAATTTATACCTACCATATGATCCTGTGATTCTATTCCTAGACATTTACCCCAAAGAAAAGGAAATATATGTCCATACAAAGATTTGTACACTACACTAATGTTCATAGCAGCTTTATTTGTAATAGCCCCAAACTGGAAACAACCCAAACGTTCATCGACAGATGACTGGATAAACAAATTGTGGTAGATCCATAAAATGGAATACTACTCAGCAATAAAATGGAATGGCCTATTGATATATGCAACATGGATGAATCTCAATTAGGCTGAGTAAAATAAGCCAGACCAAAAAAATGTACACAATGTATAATTGCATTTATATACAACTATAGAAAATTCAAACTAATATATAGTGACAGAAAGCAGACCTGTGGTTGCTTGGGAATAGAGGGATGGGGAAGGGTGTGGAGAGGCAAGAGGGAGGGACTTCATGGGGTGTGAAGAAACTTGTGGGAGTGGTGGATATGTTCATTCTCTTGATTTTGGTGATGGTTTTACAGGTTTAAACATGTCAAAACTTATGAAATTGTACATTTTAAATATGTGCAGTTTATTATATATCAGTTATACTACAATTAAGCTGATTTTTAAACTTCTAGGAGAAAAATATAGGATACTGTTTTTAGGACCTGAATGTAGTTTGGATTTTGAAATTGACATAAAACACAAACTATGGGAAAAAAAGTCATTTAAAAAGAATCCTCCTTTTCTTCAAAAGATACCATAAACAACGTGAAAGGTAAGTTACAATTTGGAAAGGATGTATTACTAATAAAAGATTAATGTTAAATTTATGTAAAGAATTTCTACAAACCAGTAAGAAAAAGACAAACAACCTAATAGAAAAATGCGCGAAGGAAATGAGAAGGTACCTCAAGGAGAGAAGACACAAATGGCTTAAAAACTATGAAAAGATGCTGAATGTCGCTAATAAGAGAAGTGCATACATCTCACAATGAACTACCATTTCCTATCCATGCATTTGGCAAAAATTTAAAAAGCAGACACTACCAAGCATTGGTGAGGACATGGAGCAAGTGGAACTCCTAGACATTGCTAGTGAGAGTATAAAAAGATGCAATCCTTTTGGAAATGGAGACATATCTGCCAATGTTGGATATAAATATTCATACCCTATGACCCCTCAGTCCCACTCTGAGGGCTTACCCCAGAGAAACCCTGCATGTGTCCATAAGGAGACCTGTGTATGAATGTTCATAGCAACATCATTTGTGGTAGCAAAAACTGGAAGCCCTTTCCTTGATGCTCTTCCCCCAGATAGCTACATGGCTGGCTTCCTCCCTGCCTCGGGTCTTTGCTCAAATGCTGCCTTCTCAGTGAGGCCTTCTGATCCTCCACCTTAAAATTGCAACCAACCCCTCCAGCATTCCCTGCTCCCTTTCCCTACTTGGCTTTTAGCAGTTATCCTCATCTGACATGTCCGATATTCTACATATTTTTATATTGTGTATTCTCCTCTAGAACATAAGCTCCATGAGGGCAGTGGTTTTGAAATTTTTATTCACTACTTTATTCCTATTTCCTTGATAGTAGGTGCTTTAATGAGTATTTATTGAATGAACCTAAGTGGTCATCAAAAGTAGACATGATAAACAAATTGTGGTATACTCATTCACAATTTTGGAAACTGGACAGCAGTGAAAATAAATGAAACAGAGCTTCATGTATCAAAAAGGATAAATCTTGCAATGACAAATACACGGAGCAAAAAATGCAAGTTGCAGATAAAATCTTACCATATAATAGCATTTATATGAATGCAAAATGTGCAAGACATTTGTGGTGCTCTGGAATACACACATGTCAAGCTTCAGGAAATACATGGAGTGATCCACATTTCATTTAGGATAGTGGCTGCCTCTGGAGGAAGGGGGTGCTTCTACTGGAGAGGGGAACACAGGGGTTTCAACTGCATGGGTAATGCTCTATTTTTTTTCAGCTTAGTGCATTCATAGGGTTTCACTGAATTTCTTACAACTTTATTATGTTTTACATGTTTTTCTTAAAAGAAAAACGGGCAGACTGCTAACATTAAATTCCAGGGACATGAGAAATTGCAGGCTGAATGCTGAGCTGGTGGCAGAGGTACCAGAAGGAGCTGTGGCAGGGGGAGCTTCTGCATGGCCACCAGCAGTGGAGAAGCATGTTGACTTCCATGTGGGGGACCCAGAACCCCATAAGGTGTTGAAGTTAATAACTCCTGGGCTTTTTGCTGGCAAAGAAGAGTTTAATCCTAGGATTCGAGAGCATATGGTAACTTCCAGTCTAGCTCACTTGTGCTAGTTTACTATTGGTGACCCTACAACCCAGCTCATAAAAGGCCTAACTTGTTCCAAGTAATGTGCCCTAGACTCCCCTCCCTTTACCTTCCATTCTCATGACCTAGAATGAGGAAATGGAACCAGCTGGAGACCTTCACATGTCAAGAGGTGACCGCTCTTTGGGCGTCTCTCAGAGGAGGGGCACGTCCTGGGAGAACCTAGATTTTCCTACTGTTTCTGGCTCCTCCCACTCAGAATCTCAGTGGAACCTCAGACACAGCTCAGAGTCCCATAATAGGGGCATCCAAGATGGCTGTGCAGCCCAGCCTTTGCCATCTCATAGCACAAGACAGGATATGGTACACCCAGAACACTGGGGTAACTGGAGTGGTAGAAGGCTTGGGTCAGAGGGCAGCAGTGTCTTCACACACCTGTAACCCACTGCCCACCTGACAAGGCCCTTGGTGAACAGCTCCATTCAGTGACCTTCTCTATGCCCTGCCTCCTTGTGGGTATTACAGGCTGGACTGCAGCCCATGATGCAAAACTTTGAACCTACTACCTGTTGGCTCTACCTTTAAAATACTAACGTGTCTGAAATCTGACCACTGATCACCACCACTCTGATCCAAGCTGCCATCATCTGCCACCTTGATTACTGCATTGGTTCCTCGGATCACTCTGCTCCTTCCCTCGCCCTCTTCGTCTAGTCTCCACAGAGGCCACAGCCCATCACTGCTCTGCTCAGAACCATGCCATGGCTCCCCCTTTCACTCAAAGCCAGAGACATCACGATGTCCCTAAGGCTCTCTGCAAATCCGGCCCCTCACTGCCTCTGACCATAGTGCTGTTCCAACTAAGGGCTCGAAACAGGTGGACAAACAGGCAAGGCGAGTAAGCAGCAAGGAGGGAGAGGCAGGGGAACCAGGAAGCTCTGGGCGAGGGTCACTCTAACACAGGTGAGGAGGCTCCGTGCGGGCTTAATGGGCTCTGCCGCAGGAGACTCCAGGGTCAGCTAGGGCTGGGCCGGGGGTCGTCGCCCAGGGGTGCTCCTGTGGGCGAGGGGCCTTTCGTCTCCCCGTCCGTGCTCTCGAATAGTGGCTTTGAACGGCAGCTGCCCAGGTTTCGTTAGCCTGTTCCCGCCCTATTCCTCAGCGCCGCTCAGGAATTGCTGACTTGACTGGGACAAAACCCCACAAAATAGGTCGACGAGAACTCACGCTCCCAGAAGGCTTCACCGCCTGAAAAGAGATCTGAGCAAGCCCTGATGTTCTCGGCAGGGCTGAGGGGAGGGCTTCACAGGCGAGGGGAGGCTCAAGATTAGCTTCTTCATCTGGAAAAGGGTATCATTAACAGCCACTTCCTCACAGACTTGTCACTATTGAATGGAACGATCCCTCGAAGGCGCTCAGACTTCACCAAGCTCCTGTCGCGCAGTGCAGCCACCGTGAGCCGCCATTTCGCGGGCGGGCAAACCGAGGCTCGCAGCGCCGCGAGTCACCCAGGCCCTCTACTTGGACAGCGGCGGCGGGAGAGGGCAGCCTGAGCCCGGACAGTACCGCAGCCCACGGGAGTCCCTGGTGCCGCGGGGGCGGGACTCGAGGAGGAGCAGCTCTGCCCACTGCCATGGTGGCACTTCCAAAGTCGGATCGCGCCGCCTGGAACTACAACTCCCAGCAGCCCGCGCGGCACGTCCTGGTCGACGCCGGGGGAGCGGCCGCCATTGTCCGCGGCGGAGGTGAGGCGGTCGCCGGGGTGGTGGGGCGGCTGCCGCCCGGAGGGCCCTAGGGTCGGGAGGAGACGCTGGGAGAGGCGGCGTCTGTCTTTGGTGCCGGCGCGGCGCCTGGGCCGGTCGAGCGCCTGCCCTCTCCGTGCCGGCTTCGCGCCCCCGTTTCCCTCAGCCCTCCGACCCCCGCCTCCCGCCTCCCGCCCGGCCTCGCGGCCGCGCTGGGTTGCCTGGGCGGCCCCGGGGAGCCCCGCACGCCCGGCCTGGGGTCGGGTCGCGGCCGCCGGCCCAGCGCGTCTTTGTCTCTCAGGCCGCGCGGGGCTCCCAGGCGCACCGCAGGGCCGAGCCTCGGCGCAGAACAAAAGCCCCGGCGCGTGCCGAGTGGCCTGCGGAGAGCGGGGCCGGGAGCCGCGGGCAGGTAAGGCCTGCGCGCTGGGCGCCGCGTCCGCCCCGGGGGCGGGGCGGGCTGGCTGGAGGCCCTGGTGGCGGCCACCGGCTCCCAGTCCCCGGCGGCGTTTCCGTCCGAGCCCGTCGCGTGAGCGCCGGAGGGCGTCCGGCGAGGGCTGGGAACGGCCCCGGTTCTCTGCAGACGCGCAGTGGCGGCAGGACAGGGCCCAGCGGAGACGTCGGTGCGGAATACGGCCTGCCTGCTTCGGGTTGGGCGCAGGCCCGGCGCCCCGGAGGCCTGGCGGGCGTCCCAGAGCTTCGTACACGCTCCCGGAACCCGAGAGCCTGCCGGTGGGCGCGGGGCCCCTCGGGGAGGGCGCGGGCCGGCCCGGGGACCGGGGAGGCGGGGTGTGGGCCCCACACCCGGCGGAGACGGGCAGGCGTGGGCCTGGTAGGTCTTGCAGTTGGGTTTTTTCTTTTTAGGTAAAATTTACATAACAAATTAGCGCGCAGTCCAGTCGTTTCCTTATGTGTTGAGGAAGTTGTGCGATCGTCATCACTGATTCCAAAACATTTTCATCGTCCCCCCGAAGAAACCCCTGCGCCTACTAAGCAGCCCTTCCCCATTCCTCACTCCCCCTGCTCTAGGCAACCGCTTACCTGTGAGGGTTGCAGGCAGATTTTAGGATAGTTGTTGCCAAATCAACCGAACAGTTACCTCGACGTTGTGACTCGCTGTGGGGACCCTTTGGCAATTTCCGCCCCCTCGTCCGGGATAGTGCTCTTGGCTTTGCTTATTCAGGTCGCCACTTCTCTCCAGGAGGTCTGTTGTGTTTTTGACACGTAAAATCTGCTTTCTTACAACGCTCCCCAGGAGTCTCTTGATGCTTCCGTGGATGGGTCCTCTTCTTTGTTCCTGCAGGATCTTCTGTGAGAAGGACCACTTTTCTCTTTTTCACCTCCGTCACTAGGTTGTATTGCAGTTGCTCTCTGCGCATCACCGAATTCATTGTTGCTGGGCAGGTGCCTGTTTGGTTAATCCTGTGGGATGGCGGCCATCAACCCGTGGGCCTCCTGGGGTGAGTCCAAATCCGGTTTCTTCTGGGCCTTCCCAGCAGTGACTTGCTGAAGCCAGGGGTTAGAGTTGGGGAGGGGGTGAGGGCCTTTGAGGATTGGAGGGGGGTCTGTCTTGGTACAGAATTAGACCTAAGATTAAAAAAAAGAAAAATTATTTGGTTGTTGGTGAAAGGGTAAACTTAGTGTAAAAGACAATGTAACTTTTGTTTATTTTCAGTCATCTCCTAAGATGTCTCACTAGTTCTAAGAGATTTTCTGGTGACTTGTGGGATTCTTTAGAAGACTGTTATACATGCAATCAGAATTTCTATACCACTCTTATATTTTTAATTTTATTGTTGTTTTTCACTTATATAGCATTGATTTGTAATTAAAGAGCAATGTGAAATTGTAGTGTGATGTCAGTGGTGTGTTCTCCCTTTAAATGAAGTTTCATGTGTCCATCACTAAAGACATGGATGTTATCTTTCTAATAATATTTTGTAAAAGTTAGGTAACGTTAAACACTTTATCAGATACCTTTTCAGCCACGTAAGGGGTTCTGTTCTTGTTCTGTGGTTATATTATATCTTTAAATTGCCTGACAGTGACCTACCTGTGCATTTCTGGTATAAACCTAGCTTATTACGTTGGGATTTTTTTTTTTTTTTTTTTTTTTTTTAAAGATTTTATTATTTCCTTTTTCTCCCCAAAGCCCCCCGGTACATAGTTGTATATTCTTCGTTGTGGGTTCTTCTAGTTGTGGCATGTGGGACGCTGCCTCAGCGTGGTCTGATGAGCAGTGCCATGTCCGCGCCCAGGATTCGAACCGACGAAACACTGGGCCGCCTGCAGCGGAGCGCGCGAACTTAACCACTCGGCCACGGGGCCAGCCCCTTACGTTGGGATTTTTCACATGCCTTTGGGCTCTGTTTCTGCCTAGTAGTGAGAGAGAGCTCCTCTTCCATTTTGTTGCCTTTAGTTGCCAGAATTGGTGTTACAGTGCCTCTTTTCCTTGTCCTGACCTGATCTTCTGGTGCAGGTGTCCTTACAGATGAGTCCTGGGAGATGGCAGCTGTCGACCCATGGGTGTCCTGGGGTGAGTCAAGAGCCTGTGTCCCCATTGGCCACATTGGCTGCCATGTCGTGGCCTCTCCCAGCAGTGATCTGCCATTGCCCTGGATCAGAGCCAGGGAACCAGGTGGGTTTTTAGGGCAGGGGGGTTCTGGTCCACCTCTGTCTCTGTGCAGAGCTGGAACAAGGAGGGATCAGAACACTCCTCTGGGGGATAAAATGATGTGACATCTCTAGGACAGAGTGTATGAGAATGAATGTGTGGCCACTTAGGATTCAGGCCCAGAAAGGCCGAACAGACACTGCTTCTCAGAGATGGTACCTCAGAGTGAAGGAGGATAGTGCAGGGTTCTCATGTTTAGGCACATTCCTTATCTTCTCAGAGCCTCATTTCCTTCATCAATAACATAAGGTGGTAGGTCTCTTCCTTTGCCCAAGGCGGAGGGCCAGGGTCTGGTTCTCCCTAAACCCCGCAGAAGGAAGGACTTATGTGGTCACGCTTATAGCGGGGAGAGCTACCTCTGTGACTTCACTTTCTTCCCCCAGCTCTGTGCCCTCAAGACACTGCGTGGCGTGTGGAGGAAACTCCCGAGGAAGGGAGGAAGGCTACCGGGCTCCTGACTGCCCAGGTCCAGGTGAGATGGGCTTCTCCTTTTTCCTGGATGGCTGCCCTATTCCCTAAGATGTCCAGATTGTCCCTGACCATCCCAGTCCATGTGATTTCTCAGTTTATATCAGCTAGAGTTTGGGTAGAGAAAGAATCAACCAGAAGTTTGTCACTTTCTGAGTGCAGACAGGGAGAATTCAGTTTTCCATGTCTCAGAGCCTCACTATCCACCAGCCTGTTCCCAGTCCTAACCCGGGCCGTTCTGTGTGGGTTGTCTTGGTGGATGAGGGACAACCCCCTTGGCTGGAGCCCCCTCTTCTTTCTTCTTCCCGCCTTCCCTCACATACTCAGTGCCTGATTCAGCTTCATGCTGTCTTGTGAGCTCTGTGCTTGTCAAGAGGGGAACAAGGACAAATCCGAGCCCTTGCCCTGAGGAGCTCCCAGGGTGGTTCACTCAGCTACTGAGGCCTCATGGCCTGTGTGGTGCAGCACATGTAGTTTGGGACACAAGAAGCTTGAGACACTTAGAGAGGCCCCAAGTCCTGGAGGGGTTGAGCCCAGCTGATGCCTTGGGAGGTGGGACAGTCTGCATAGAGGTCAGGGGACACAGAACAGCTGGGGTCCTTTCACTGTGGAAAAGGAGGCTGTCCAGGAGACACGACGCATCTGAGTCAAGAGGTGAAGGAGACACATCAGCCGAATGGGCACGGCCTGGTGAGCAGGGTCTGGCCTCCTATAGCACCAGGGGTGGTGGTGAGGGCACACTGCATGACCAGGGTCTGGGTGAAGACTGACCCCATTTAGGTGTTAGGCTGGAGAGGCCAGGATGAACTGAGCCAGGTCCTGAGTGCCAACTGCAGAGCCAGGGCTCCATCCTGGTGATAATAAGGAGCCTTAAGTGTTGGGAGCAGGAGGTGCCAGGGCCCACAGTGTGGCTGGAAGGGTGCCCCTGGCATGGGTATGGGGAGAAAGGGGGCTGTGGGAAGCAGGCTGGCATTTCAAGCTTCAGTCTGACCAGGGCCTGGGAGCAAGATCTGAGGTACTAGGGAGCCGAAGCAGGAGGACTTTGTGACTGTAGGGGCATGATGGTGGCTCCTGAGAAAAAAGGATAGCAAAGTTGTGTTGGAGAGGTGTCATCTCCACCTCTGCCTCCCTCAGCCATCTCACTCAAGGCAACCACTTCAGAAAAGAAAATTTTTGTAACAGCTTTATTAAAATATTATTCATATACCATAAATCTCAGCTTTTTAAATGGTACAGTTCAGTGGTTTTTACTATGTTCGCAGACTTGGGCAACCATCACCAGTATCTAATTCTAGAACATTTTCGTCACCTCAAAAAGAAACTCTGTCCTCATGAGTAGTCACTCTCCATTCCCCTACCCCTAGCCCCTGGCAACCACTAATCTGCTTTATGTGTTTGCCTATTCTGGATATTTCCTGTAAAGGGAATCATACAATATATGGCCTTTGTGTCTGGCTTCTGTCACTTAGCATGTTTTTGAGGGTCACCTATATTGCAGCATGTATCAGTATTTTATTTATTTTCATGACTCAGGCGGCCATTTTTAACTTCCTGTTTTCTCTTTCTTAGGGTTATATCCATATTTCTACATGAGAGGTTTTTTTCCCTAGTTTATCAAATTTACATTTACTTTATTGACTCCTTGCTATGCAAAACAAAAAAATAGTTTCATTACTGTATTTAGGTCTTTCATTTCTAAGTTAAAGTAATGAGTCAAGCAAATGAGAGATACTTGATATAAAAATATTAATAATGTCTCTACTTAACTTTATGTCTCCCCCCAAATTAAAAAAAAATTAACGAAACCTCCCACAGTTTCAAAGCTGACTGGTGAAGTGTATCGTAAGTATGCTGTCCCCCCATGGCAACGCTACTGTCCCGGGAGGCAGAAGGGCCTGCACCCGGATGATGCAGGGTGGTGGTTGTCTGGCATCAGAACTTGGGGGACTGTGGTGTTCGCTGCTGTTAATAATGTGCGCTCATTTTTACATCCTGTAACAGTCAGCAGTGGAGCTAGGCTAGACTGAAAGATGGGCCCTGAATCAGTCGCTTGGGAACAGAAGTTAGCTGTAATAAAATGCTATGAAGAGGCCCTAATAACCACAGTGCTGCACTCTGCTGTCAATTTAGGGGAGGATTTCTGAGCATTATTAGAGTTAACGCTGAGAAAATAAAACAGATATTTAAAATAACACCACCTTCCAATGTCTGAAGAGTTGTGATTTCTGAGAACGTGCCCCTGGCCCCCTCCCCACACTTTGGATTTTTCCCCATGGGAAATGCAAGATTGAATCATGTGAGTTTTGTATTAAGTGAGGTCTTCAGGAACACAAATAAGAGCCCCATATCCCTCTCTCATTCCCTCTAAATTAAGCATTTACTGAAATAAAGCATTCACCTGGTGAAAACGTGCAGTACTGTCATCCCTTGTTATCTGACTAGTCCATGCTTGGAAACATGTTGGATAGTGAAGTTTCAGCCAGCTGGAGCCTAAATCCCATTATTTTGAGGAATAGGGAAAATAATAATAATGTCCCAGCCCATTTAAAAACCCCAGCCAGCCTCCTCAAATATGGAAATTCTCAACCCCCTTTGTAACAGTCCACCACCGATTTCTGCATGATAAACATTGTGCACATAAAACACCAATAATCTAATGCTCTGCACCATCCTTGGTTGTCTTGAGGATGTACACAGTCTAGTTATATTTTCCTTCTTTGCAAAGAGGTTGCACTAAAATTTAATAATGAAATTCTGAAGATGTCAGAGAAGGTGTCTGAATTTCCCCAGGTTCTATGAACAGGCCAGCTGTCAGAGAATTCAGAAAATGCAGGAGCAGTTGGATGAGATCCTGTCAGGCAAACAGCTGAGCCCCGGCTCAGTAGCCTCTGCATCTTCCCGCAGACCCTCCCATGACTTAAACGTGTGGCCGATGTGTTAGAAGATTCCATAAGAAGTGCCTTAGAATGCCTAGATAAATTCTTATATGTACGTACAAAGTGATATGTGCAAGAGTGTTTACAAGAATTTGGGTGAAACCTCTTTGCAAGATCCTAGCAGATGGTTGTGAAGGCCAGGTTCAGGTAAGGCTTACCCACGGAATGGAAGGGCTCACTCCTCCCTGGGAATGAGGCACTTGTCTGTGCTGCCCCCTCATCTAGAGGGGTCAGGTAACAGTGAAATCTGTGTTTCTCTTCCCAGCCAGGAGGGTCCCTCTTGTCTCCACAGCTGGTGGGACTAGGTGCTCTTCTGTTTCATCTCCAGCCTCGTTTTTGCATTTTCCTGTGCATCCCTGAGGCGTCCCTTAATTGTGGACTCCAACATGGGGGCTATATTCAGCTGAAGGTCTTTTTTCCTTCCTGTTTGGCAGTCCATGGGCCGTTCTAGGTTGATAATGTCTCCTTCGATTCTGGAAATGTTTTTATTTAAAATTTTATTTTGACAAATTCCATAATTACAGAAAAGTATAAAAATTAAGCACAGTCCCCATCACTCTGAGATAACAGTTGTTAATGTTTTGTCGTATTTGTTTTCCTTTTTTTATGTAGTCCCCAATCACAGTCTCTTCCTACCCTTCTTCAGAACAGCCACTCAGGATGTGTACGCAGCTAATCCATTTTCATACTCATAAACTACATAGCCATGCCATAGGTAATAATATTGTTATATATATTTTTAAACAATGCCTTTTCTGTTTGTAGCTTTTCTACAGTTTTCTTTGCACATTTGAGGTCCATCCATATGATAGATACAGGTCAAGTTCATTCCCTTTGCCCCATCAAAGAAGTGTACTTGATTCATCTCTTCTGTGGATAGGCTTGTCAGGCTCTCCTCCCCCCACGATATTTCCTATTTCAACCAAAGGTGTGTGGATGGTCTTGTTTCACTTTGTGCACACATAGAAGTATTTACGCTTATACCTAGAAGCGTAATTTTGCTGAATTTTAGGGTGTGTGTGTTTTCAATATGACTAGCACTGCCATGTGGCTCTAAGGGGCCAAAGCCACTTGTCACTGCTCTGGGAGAAAGTACCCGTTTCCCACATCTTTGCTACCACTTGACCATATCGAGTCTTTTCAATTTGTGCTTACCTCAAGACCAACAAGGTGTAGTGTGTTATTTTAATTTGCGTTTCCTTGATTGCTACTGAGGTTGAATATCTTTTCATGTTGTTATTGGCTATCTGTATTTCCTTCTCTCTCAGTCTCTCCTATCCCTCAATCTCTGTACAAGTCTGGCTTACTGATAGGCATTTTACATACATTCTGGATCCTGATTCTTTGCCACATGTGAATTATCTTCTCCCAGTCTGTAGTTTGTCTTAACTCTGTGGTGTCTTTTCTCAGTCAAATGTTTTTTGGTATATATTTGTCACACATATCTGTCTTGGTTTGTGGCTAGTGTTTTTGTGTCTTTTTTTAAGAAGTCCTATATTTAAAAAAAAAGTTCCCTCCTGTCTTTCTCCTTTGTATTCTTTTTCTGAGGTCTTCTGTTGGTGGGTGTCCTGATGGACTCCTGTGTCTCTGATCTCACATTCCAGGTCCTTTTCTTGGTAGGGTGTAGGGAGCCCAGCCATCATATTCTCACCCCCACAGAACTCTTTTTGGGCCCTTCTGTTACATGGTAGGCCTCCTGAAGCAATTGCTGCGTCTTCTCTCTCCTTCATAGTCTGAATTCTTTCCTTTTCTCTCAGCCTCTCTTGTATCCTTGTGTCCTATTTTATACCAAGATCTCTCCAAGCTGAGAATTGGAATTACAGCTTATTGAAAGTTGGATGCGGCTGCTGCCTGGATTCTGTGTCCTCTTGGCTGCTGAGTTCAGGCACTACCTGAGCAGCAGGTATTCCTCAAGTATCCATGGTTCTCTGGCATGTCCGTGCTTATCAGGACAGCTGTTGAGGCTGTGTTTGAGAGTCCTGCTTTGCTGCACCTCAACAGGTCTAGTGGTCTTGTTCCCGATTGGCTGGCCTCTCTCCTTGTGTCTGTCTCTGTCTCTCCTGGCCTGGGTGGGCCAGGGTCACCAGGTTGGTTCTGCTTCCAGTTTCCTGGGTATGCAGCTGACTGTCAGACCACGGACTTCTGTCCCCTCTCCCTGTGTTGGGCTGAAGAGGTCTCAACTCCATGTTGCCACTCACCCAGGCAGCCTGAGAACCCACTCGAGTCTGAGAAGGGTCCGGGGAGCTTTGCCTGAGTGTAAGTGCAGGGCTAGTGGTAGTGTTGCCTACAAGGCAGGGTGGCTGGTGGGGAGACGGGCAACTGGCAAAGCTGTCCCAAATACAGACCCTCATTTCAGCTGTTTTCAGCCTGACTCTCACGCCTGCCTTCACTGTTGTGTAAGCTCAGAGCCTCTCCTGGAGTCCTGCTTCCACTGCCGCATCTGCCAGCGTGGGGCTGGGATCTCTGCTCTGATCTTGGTCAGCCACACTTCCATCTGCTCCCCACCTTGCAGCAATTTGTGGAACACCATGTGCCGATGGCCTCTTCACCGGCTGGGATATTTCTTTTACGTTTTTTTTTTTAAAAAGAAACTTTTTTCCTTTTACATTTAGAAGATTTTTTTAAACCCAGAGGTGGAACGTGAATCCTGTGTTAGTTTCCTGTTGCTGCTGTAACAGATTACCACAAACTTAGTGACTTAGAACAGCATGAATTTATTCTCTTGTCCTGGGTGCAGAAGTCTAAAATGGGTCTTTGGGGCTGTGTTCCTTCTGGAGGCTCCAGCGGGGAATTGCTTTCTTGGTTTTTCCAGCTTCTAGAGGTGCCTGCCTTTCTTGGCTCATGGCCCCTCCTCCATCTTCAGAGTGCATCACTCCAGCCTCTGCTTCGGTGGTCACATCTTCTCTGACCCTCCTGCCTCCATCTTTCACTTATAAGGACCCTTGTGATTACACTGAGCTCGCCTGGATAATCCAAGATAATGCTATCTCAACATCCTTAGTCACAGCACTGCAAAGTCCCTTTGGTCGTATTAAGGTAACAGTCACAGGTTCTAGGGATTAGGACATGGACATCTTTGGGGTACCCGTTATTCAGCTGACCGCAGACATCTATATTCACCAGCTTCAGCAACTGTCGGCTTTCATCTTTCTGCCTTTCTTTTCATCTATTCCAATACACAACCTTTTTTTGGAAAACAAGTATTTAAAGCAAATCTCAGATATTGTTTCACCTGTAGATGCTTCTGTGTGTATATCTAAAAGATGCATACCTTCTGGAAGATAACCACAGTATCTTTTTTACACCCAACAAAAATAACAGTAATCCCTTAGCTTTACCTAATACCCAGTCCATGTTCAGTTTTCTCCACTTGTCCCAAAAATGTCTTTTTACAACTGGCTTGTTCAAATCAGTTCGAACCAAGACCACACATTGCATGTGCTTCATGTGCTGAAGAAACTACGTCAGCTGTCTTGGTTTGCCTGGTTTTACCCTTGGGATGTCATTGGATGAGTTCCTCATCCCTTTGTCTCCTGTAAGCTGGTAGTTGGGCTAGAGGCTGAAATAGATTCAGGTTGTGTCTTTGGCAAGAGTACCTCATGGGTGGTTTTGGGTCCTTCCTCCTGTGTTTCAGCAGTGGGCACAGGCTGTCTGGTTGTCCCATTTTCAGATGATACAATGGATTAATGAGTGCAGGTATTGTCAGCCTCCGTCATGAGTTCCCTGTCTTCCTTCCACCAGTGGTTAGCAGTCATTGGTGATCATTGCTGGTGTCTGCTCTTTTATTAGGGTTGCAGAATCACTCTCTAATAATTTCGTTCCTCCTGTGTCTATTAGATGTGGTTCTTCTAGTCCTTTTTAAAAGTGTGTATGGGGATTCCACTGGGGTCTTGGGAGGAGTGGGAGGTGAGCTCTTGGCTCTGTCCATCAGCTTGACAGCTGCCAGGGTGTAGGTTTGAACCGTGTTGAGTATAGGTGAACTTTGAAGCCATCTAAGTAGATGCCGCCCTCCAGGGAGATTAGGTAGTATGAAATGAGCACAGGTCCAAGGGCATCCTGGGCAGTAAGCACAGCCTCCCAGCTGGGCCCCTGGGCGTGATCACTTTGAAAGTGCATTGAGCTTATGATTTGTGTGCTTTCTGTCCGAATGTTACATTTAAATTAAAAAGTTTGCATTACTCAAAAACATAGCAGCAGCAGCAGCAGCCATTGAGGAAACTGAGGCCTGGGCAGGTCTGTAAGAGGAAAATCTGGAAATTGGCATCAAGTCCAGGGTTGGGGAGGGTTTCACCAAGGCAGCTTGTGATCAGCGGTTTTAAATGCTTTCAGAATAAGGGAATCAGTTCTGATTCCCACTTCTGGAGCAGAATCAGTTCTGTGTTTTAAGCCAGTCGTGTGAAGGTGGAAGGGGAGCGGTTCAGACCGACAGAGTAAAAGTCAGTACACTGAAGACACAGCAGCGAGAGCTGGCCCTGACCAGAGTTGATAAGCTGAGTTTATAAGCCATGACTAGCAGGGACAAAAAGGAAGGCTGTGGGAAAGGCTGCATGTGGGTATAAGAGAAGTGAGGTCACAGGCTGTGAAGGGGTGGGTTGAGGTTCACAGGACTCTCAGAGCGGAAACGCGCTGCACTGCACGCACCTCGGCTCAGCAGGTGTGTGTCTTGGGTGGATTTCGCACTGATATGGAGGTAGACCAGAATGCTCCTTGCCAGATGGTGGCGAGGACTGTAGTGCACAGACAGGCCAAGATGGGGGCCTACACCCCATCAGGGGCTGTAGGGTTTGTAGCACCTTACCTGTGACACACAGCTCACTGCCTTCCACCACCACAAGGGAAGGCAGGCCCCCTCCTCACCCTGGAAATGCCACATACCTGAGGCTCATGCCAATGGCTTACAAGGATTGTAAGGGCTGGATTCATTGAAAAAAATCAGACTTGGGTGATAACTCATCTTCCCCTCTAGCTGTGCAGTGAGTATTCCTGGTTGTATTTTTCCTAAAAACATAGCTTGAACTTTCTAAAACTCAAATGCTTTTGACGGCAACTGTAACTGATTCTCCTTGGCCTGGGCTGCTCTGCTAAATCCTGTCTGACTCTTAGCTCCAGTCTTTGGGATGGAGATGATCTGGGAATGGAAACGTCCCTGCTGTGGCCAGGAAGACAGCCTGTGAATGTTCACATCACTCTTCAGGTCCCAGCTCCACATGCTGAGCAAAGGTTCCAACCCCAAGGTCTCTGGTGTGTGACCAGTGCTTACCATCTGTGTCCATCCTGGTCCTGGCCTTATTAAGTGTCTGTATCTCCAGAGAAGAAGGGGGCATTGCCCTGGTGGGACTCGTGTCCACACTAGCCAGTGTTACTAGAGTTGGGCAGACATCTCAGGAGAGACCTGCTCATCTTTGTTGTGGTTACTGTGGGCCCAGGTATCTAATTCCCTAAGACTGTATTCCCAAATGCAGGGCCCTGGGTGGCTCCCAGTGAGACCTGACCAACATCAGTCAGAATATTGAACATACCCAGTTCCTCTATGTCCTGTCTCCTCCCAGGGATGTCACCCTCACTCCATCCCCAGAAAACATTGCAGGGGGTGGCCCCAGGCTGAGGAGGAACATGTGTGCTCTTTTAGGAACCAGTGACCTTCAAGGACGTGGCTGTGGACTTCACCCAAGAAGAGTGGGGGCAGCTGGACCCTGTTCAGAGGACCCTGTACCGGGACGTGATGCTGGAGACCTATGGGCACCTGCTCTCTGTGGGTAAGGCGGGTGCTGCCCAAGTAAATGGAGCTATTCCCATTGCAGTACTGTCTGCTACTCCGTGTTAAAGCTCATGGAGGCCTCAGGAGGGCTGAGATGATCTTGAGCCCTGAGGTTCAAGGATGAAATTCCTCATGCTTATGAGGCATGAAGTGGGAGGAACCGTACTTATACTGCCCAAGGGAGAAGTCAGAGAGGAACAGGCAATGGAAGCTCACAAGCCCACGTTTTTCCTTTGCATGCAGGGAATCAGATCCCCAAGCCTGAGGTCATCTCCCTGTTGGAGCAAGGAGAAGAGCCATGGTCAGTGGAGCAAGCATATCCTCAAAGCACTTGTCCAGGTGAGAGCAGGCTCCAGGAGGGAGTGAGGAACTTTCCCCCCAGCCCTCCTTGTTTGAGAAATGGGCTGAGGCCAGGAGGAGTTACCCTCCTCAGGGACCTTCACAATTTCCTCTAAGAGCTTTATCCCTTGTATGACTCTTTTGCTGCTCTTGATCTAGAGCAAAGATGCCCATCCTATTAACAAGGTAACAGTTTTTGTATGCTACACTTTCGCTCCTCACTATCCACTCTCCTGATGCCTCTCATATTCTCTGCTGTCCCCTTCTCTAAGATGACTTCTTGTTCACTTACCTGCTTTTTAATTATTCCTTAATTCCTTTATTGCCAAATTTGTAGCCTGTAGCCACAGATTCTTTTAAAAAATAGGTTTTTTATATAGGTAATATATTCGCATGTTCAGAAAACTCAAAGTTACATAAAATGTGTAAGCTGAAAAATCTTTTTTATACTCCTTGCCCTTATCCACCTTATTCTTAACCACCCCCCACACACACAGAGTGGAGACGCACACACACACACAGCACACACATACACACAGTGCACACAGGTAACCATTTATCTTTTACTTTTAATTTTTGGGATATTTTCTTAGTGGTTGCCCTGGGGATTATAATTAACATCTTAATTATAACAGTCTAGTTTGGATAAATACCAATTTAATTTTGATAGTATACAGAAACTTTGATTCTGTATAGCTCTGTTCTCCGTTTATGCTGTTATTGTCACAAATTACATCTAGACATTGTGTGTCCCTCAACATAGATTTATACTTATTGCTTTATTTAGTTGTCTTTTAAATCAGGAAAAAAAAGAGTTACAAACAAAAAAAATGCGTTTATACAGTCTTGTTATATTTACCTATGTAGTTATCTTTAATGGTATTCTGTATATCTAGTTACTGTCTAGTGTCCTTTCATTTCAACCTAACAACTCCCTTAAGCATTTCTTATAAGGCAGGTTTGCTAGCAGCAAACTCTCTCAGGTTTTGTTTATCTGGGAATGTCTTGATTTCTCCTTCATTTTTTTTTTTTAAGATTTTATTTTTTCCTTTTTCTCCCCAAAGCCCCCCAGTACATAGTTGTGTATTCTTTGTTGTGGGTCCTTCTAGTTGTGGTATGTGGGATGCTGCCTCAGCGTGGCTTGATGAGCAGTGCCATGTCCGCGCCCAGGATTCGAACCAACGAAACACTGGGCCACCTGCAGCAGAGCGCACGAACTTAACCACTTGGCCACGGGGCCAGCCCCGATTTCTCCTTCATTTTTGAAGGATGGTTTTGCCAGATATAGAATTTGTGATTGACAGTTTTCTTCTTTCTGGCCTCTATGGTTTCTGATGAGAAACAAGCTGTTAGTCTTTTGGTGAAGTTCCCTTGCATGTGATGAGTTGCTTCTCTCTTGCTGCTTTCGGGATTCTCTCTTGGCTTTGGCTTTTGACAGCTTAATTGTGATGTGTATGCATGTGGCTGTCTAGATTCCCAGGAATATGTCAGAACTTTTCAAACCCCCATGGACATTTCGCTCTTCAGCTTTTTCCTTTCATCTTTTTGGTTTGTGTGTTGTTCACCCCAACTGTTTTCCATCATCTCAGACAGCAGCAAATTTAAAACATTGCCTGTAAATGTTTGACAAATACCTGCTCCTTAGAGGCTTTTAGCACTGTGCGAGTGCCCAACAAGCCTTTTGAGTAGGATCTTGCAGGGAACCACTAAGCAGGTCCAGTAATGACTGTTCTTTGCGAATGAGGCTTTGAAAAAGCTCCAAGCTTTGTCAGCTCCCTCTAGCACCAGAAATATGGGCTGTTATTTTCCAAGGATTTTGCTGAGTTAGGGAGCCAGGGATAGAACTAGGGTAAGTTAAAATGCCACAAAGCTCACTGTTCTTACTTAAATTAAGCTGTTTTTTTAAAATAGACTCTCCCTAGGTTGCTGCAAGGCTTTGGTTAATTTATAGAATTCTGGAAAAATAGATTCTGACAGTTTTCACATCTTTTTGGTTTTATGGAGCAGTGAAATTTCAGAGGTCCTTGTTTTGCCATTTTCACTGACCTCTTGCTCCAGGTGATCACTTTCAGTAATTTCTGTTATATGTTTCCAGAGTTTCTTTATGCAACTACAAGGATTTAGGAATATGTAGTTACTTTTCACCTTTCCAAAAGTAGATTAGGGTACATACTGTTCTGGTTGTTCTGGTAAATCCTTGCTGGTTTTAACAGTGTACTCTTCTGAAATCCTGAAGGTGGACATCTTCCCATTCATTCTAATGAAGTGGGGCTTTTGTGGATTCTAACCAGTTGCCCCCTATTCAGATGTGAAACCTTCCTCCAGAGGCTCATGAATTCCTGTAATTTTAACTCTCCCACCTCAGTGCTGACTATTCTAAGTCACCATCCTGAGCCCTGTGATTCTGCCACCTCCAACCTTACTCTTCCACCATCCTGCAAATCATCTCAACTGTCTCCTTGTTTTTGATACAACCAAGAATCTTGTCTCTTCCTTCTAGATTATGTTTCCCCATCTTCCTGGTGTATATCCCTGGTACCAGGCTTCCATGAGTCCCCAAAGCTGAAAATTGAGAAGTTATCTTGATTTCCTGCTCTTTCCTCTCCAAGAAGTAGTCTTTCTTCTAATTCTTGAGATGTTCTTCCTTTGAAATGTCAGCTATATCATTCAGCTTTTACCAACCTCACTCTCAGGTTCCCTTGCTCATAAACTTCCAGCTTAAATTGATGAGTAAATTCTTGTTATTAGCTAACTCAAGTGTTATTTCTAGATTTATCTCCCTGAAATCTCCCATTATGAGATCTCTGTCAGTAAACCTGCCTTGATTAGAATTGCCTTTTTGGGGCCAGCCCAGTGTCGCAGCAATTAAGTTTGCACGTTCTGCTTTGGCGGCCTGGGGTTTGCCGGTTTGGATCCCGGGCATGGACCTACACACCGCATGTCAAGCACAATTGTGGCAAGCATCCCACATATAAAGAAGAGGACGATGGGCATGGATGTTAGCTCAGGGCCTGTCTTCCTCAGCAAAAAGAGGAAGATTGGCAGCAGATGTTAGCTCAGGGCTAATCTTTCAAAAAAGAATTGCCTTTTAAATAACTCTGACCAGATTTGAAGACCTTCCAGTTTTTTCTATTATTTTTCTCATTTTCTGACTAGTTCTGCAGTTTACTCAGCTGGCATCTATCATGTCCTGTTTACATATCAGTCACATTACGCATGCCTTTGCTCAGACTAGCAGTCTGTCTGCATTCAAGCCATGTTTGAAGGCTTACTTCATGTCGTTTCTTTTGTGTGAACCCTTCCTTGATTGCTTCCGTCAGTGCTGATCTCCTTTTCCCACCTTCCAGCCACTTAGCATCTACAGCCTCAGTGGTATATTGTGTATATTGTTCATAACTGTTTGGTATGTCCTCTCATCAGATAGATTCTAACTTCCAGCTGGGAGACTGTACTTTCTTGTCTCTGGTGCTGGACTATTCAGGCCACAAGTACTGAGTGAGTATAAAGTTGGACAAGAATTGTTCATTTGATCAGTGAGTTGGTCAGCTACCATTTTTTAAAGTTTCTACTGGAAGGATTCAAAAGCTATATGAAGATCATTCCCTAACTTCTAGGAGCTAATCTTGAAATTGGTAATAAATGCCAGTTCTTGAGCTGAATAGAGCCTTTGTTGTAAGGGACTTGGGTAGTAAAATGGGCAAATGGTGTATAGTGAAGAGAGAAAAACCTAGAGAAAGAGGACAAGGGTCTAGGTCTTGTTGAGTCCTGGGGCTTTAGACCCTGTAGTAGGCTGAATAATGACCCCCTTCCTCCCAAGTGTTCCCCATCCTAATCCCTGGAACTTGTGAATATGCTACTTTATATGACAAAAGGGACTTTTAAGATGTGAAGAAATTAAGGATCTTGAGATGGAGAGTTCACTTTTGGATTATCTAGGTGGGCCCATTGTAATCACAAGGTCCTTAAGAGTGAGGCAGAAGCGTCCGAGACACAGAGAGGAGATGTGATTGACAGAAGCAGAGATTGGAGTGATATGCTTTGAAGACAGAGGAAGGAGCAACAAGCCAAAGCATGCAGGCAGCTTCCAGAAGCAGGAAAAGGCGAGGATACTGATCTTCCCTAGAGCTTCCAGAGGGAAGCTACCTTGATTTTAGCTTGGTGAAAACTATTTGGACTTCTGACTTCCAGAGCTGTAAGATAATTTGTGTTATTTTAAGCCACTGCAGGTGTTGTGATTTGTTATAGCAGTAATAGAAAACTAATACAGACTTCTTCAGTTGTTGGAGGACTGCTCCTTCAGCAGGTAGCTTCCATATATTGAATTTGCCAGTCATTTCATGTATTCACAATCTCACTTAATCATCAGAAAAGTCCTCTAAGGATAGTGGCAGAGCCAATGTTTAAATACAGATTATCAGGCTATAATTCCTGTGTCTGTTTCATCACAATATGCTGTCTTTCAAGTCTGTCTCTTGTGTCATTGCTCTACAATTGATTCTCTAGTCATTAGAACAATTGTAACTTTAGAGGTATCCTAAAACCATGATAATTTTTTGCCCTTTGGGGTGATGAATTTTGTGTCATTGACTGAACTTTGTGGAATAGGAAGTAATGTGAATGCCTGTTATCCTAGAAAACATCCTGGCATGAAGGCTCTGTTGGTGATACTTTCCCTTAACCCACCTCCTCCTTTTCCTGGCAGGTTTCAAAATAGGGGAGCAAGAAGGATTTTATAACAGAAATGCATTAGGACAATTTAATAATTTAAACAGTGGTTGCTCATCTATCTTTTAAGCCATTGAATATTTCTTATTTTTCACCTTAATAGCACTCAGTGTGTCCTTTTGTCAGGGATCCCCAGACCAGCCTGAGCTTCAGTGATTCACTAGAGGAACTCACAGAGCTCGGGAGTCATTATGCTCAGGGGGTTTATTACAGGGAGAGGATACACAGCACCATCAGCAGAGGGAAGAGATGCATGGAGCTAAGTTTAGAGGAAGCAAAGAGCAGCTGTCAGTAGTGCTTTCCCAGAGGGCATGCAGAGGACATATTTAATTCCTTCAGCAGTGAGCTGTGATGGCATGTGTGAAGAGTCATCTACTGGGAAGCTTGTCGGAGCCTAGGAGTCCAGGGTGTTTATTGGAGTTGGTCCAGGCACTGACTGCAGGTACTCCAGAACCTAGAGGAAAACAGGTCGTCACCTAAATGACACTGTTTGCACAAACTCTGTAGAGAAATTGGTACAGTGTGCTTCAGGGCCTCAAGCATGCAGAACACTTACCAGCCAAACCATTCCAAGACCTCAGTTCCTAGGAGTTGGCCACAGGCCGATCAGCAAACAGGCCTTGTTGGGAATGTGCAAAGTTTGAGCATCTCAGGCTTCCTGCATGCCCTTATTCTGGTCCTCATTTTCCTGGGAAAAACACTCCTTCCTGGGTTTTACTAGTTTTCAGGACACACTTTGTACCCTGGTTAACTGTTTTTGTTCACATTTCACTGTTCTCTCTTCCCTGTGGTGACCTTTCTCTGGGTCACGAGTCACTTGAACACAAGTTCACACTTGTCTTTTCAGTAATATGGACAACAAATCACACCTTTTCCACACTATTCTTAGAAGTTCTTTCTCTATGCTCTCATGGTTTTTTTTCTGTTTATTTCAGAATGGATGAGAATTCTTGAAAGCAAAGTGTTGATCCCAACACAGAGCATTTTTGAAGAACAATCCCATAGCATGAAGTTGGAAAGGTACATATGGGATGATCCTTGGTTCTCTAGGTTAGAAGTGTTGGGATGTAGAGACCAATTAGAAATGTACCACATGAACCAGAGTACAGCCATGAGGCAAATGGTCTTCATGCAAAAGCAAGTATTGTCTCAGAGAGGCTCTGAGTTCTGTCAACTTGGGGCAGAGTGTAACCAGAGCTTTGTCCCATCTCAGAGAGTTTCTCAAATAGAACACTTCTATAAGCCTGATACAAATGCTGAAAGCTGGAGATGTAACTCAGCCATAATGTATGCAGATAAGATTACCTGTGAAAATAATGATTATGACAAAGCCTTCTACCAGTCAGTGCAACCTATCCACCCTGCAAGGGTGCAAACTGGGGATAATCTTTTCAAATGTACTGATGCTGTTCAGTCTTTCAATCATATACTACATTTTGGTGATCATAAGGGAAGTCATACAGGAGAAAAACTCTATGAATATAAGGAATGCCATCAAATCTTTAACCAAAGCCCACCATTTAATGAACATCCAAGACTTCATATTGGAGAAAACCAGTATGATTACAAAGAATTTGAGAATATCTTTTACTTCTCGTCCTTTATGGAACATCAAAAAGTTGGTACTATAGAGAAAGCTTATAAATACAATGAATGGGAGAAAGTCTTTGGGTATGACTCATTCCTTACTCAACATACAAGCACTTACACTGCAGAGAAACCCTATGAATATAATGAATGTGGGACATCTTTCATCTGGAGCTCTTACCTTATCCAACATAAGAAAACTCATACCGGAGAGAAACCCTATGAATGTGATAAATGTGGGAAAGTTTTTAGGAATCGTTCAGCCCTTACTAAACATGAACGGACTCACACTGGAATAAAACCCTACGAATGTAATAAATGTGGGAAAGCCTTCAGCTGGAATTCTCATCTTATTGTACATAAGAGAATTCATACAGGAGAGAAACCTTATGTATGTAATGAATGTGGGAAATCTTTCAACTGGAACTCTCATCTCATTGGACATCAGAGAACTCACACTGGAGAGAAACCTTTTGAATGTACTGAATGTGGAAAATCTTTCAGCTGGAGCTCCCATCTTATTGCCCATATGAGAATGCATACTGGAGAGAAGCCCTTTAAATGTGATGAATGTGAAAAGGCTTTTAGGGATTACTCAGCCCTGAGTAAACATGAAAGAACTCACTCTGGAGCAAAACCATATAAATGTACTGAATGTGGAAAATCTTTCAGCTGGAGTTCCCATCTTATTGCTCATCAGAGAACTCACACAGGAGAGAAACCCTATAACTGTCAGGAATGTGGCAAAGCATTCAGAGAACGCTCAGCTCTCACTAAACACGAAATAATTCATTCTGGAATTAAGCCTTATGAATGTAATAAATGTGGAAAATCTTGCAGTCAGATGGCTCACCTTGTTAGACATCAAAGGACTCATACTGGAGAAAAGCCCTATGAATGCAATAAATGTGGAAAATCCTTCAGCCAGAGCTGTCACCTTGTTGCTCATCGGAGAATTCACACTGGTGAGAAACCCTATAAATGTAATCAATGTGAAAGATCCTTTAACTGTAGCTCTCACCTTATTGCACACCGGAGAACTCATACGGGAGAGAAACCATATAGATGTAATGAATGTGGGAAAGCATTTAATGAGAGTTCTTCCCTTATTGTACATCTGAGAAATCATACTGGAGAAAAACCCTACAAATGTAATCATTGTGAGAAAGCTTTCTGTAAGAATTCTTCTCTTATTATTCATCAGAGAATGCATAGTGGAGAGAAACGCTTTATATGCAGCGACTGCGGAAAAGCCTTTAGTGGTCACTCAGCCCTACTTCAACACCAGAGAAATCACAGTGAAGAGAAACTCTGTGAATTGAATTGATGAGAGACTTTTCTTTTGTTGTACATTTGATAATACATTGAAGGAAATCTCTATCAGTATAATCAAGAGAAATTTATTAGTAAGAGTTTAGTAGGACTTCTCCCCTTATTATTGAATAGAAAATATCTTCTTAGAAGAAACCTGTGAATGAAAAGAATAGGGAAAAGCTTTCAGCAGTTATGTAGCCCTTATTTAACAACAAATTATTACAGTGAAGAAAACTTGAAACTCCCCTCATGGTCCACTGGGAATCCTACTTGAGTAACATGAACATGGGAAATGAGACATCTTTTAGTAAGAGATCTTGACAACTTGTGGATCAGAGGGTATAGTGAAGGGAAAAACCTTATGCTAGGAAAAGTGTTTCAACTGGAAATACACTTTTGCATCAAGCTGGAGTGTTGGATGGGAATCTTTATAATAACATTTTGTGCATAATTATGGAAATACAGATTTTGCTATTATAAGGGGAGGGTCTGAGTGCCCTTTAAGGAATAGAATATGGAATACTAAATCTGAATTTAAGAAAAAAGTAGTATTGAATGGGATATTTACTGTTGATCAAGATTAACCTTAGAAAAGATTAGTAAATGAGATTAGTAATGGTGGAAAGGTTATTGCCTAGAAGAATGAGACTGATGTTTTGAAACAAAAGGTGATACGTATTAACCCTGTGTGTCAGTGACCCTGGTTTACTCATTACTGCATTGTTGGACAATTAGTTTGTAATTTGTTTTAGGCAATCACCATAAGTTATAATTATGGACACTGCATCAATATACATAACATGAAGGAATAAGGAGGAGACAGAATTGTATATACATATCTACTATACCATCTAAAAAAATGTATATGGATAAGGACTGGAAAGACCCATGGAGAAATTAACCCAGTTAATTTGATTTTTTTTTAAGTGTCACAAACCTAGCACTTAGCGTGTACTAGGCTTTGTTTTCAGTGCTTTTCAACTATTAACTTGTTCAATCCCCTTAATTCTATGAGCTAGATACTATTATTATCCCAGTTTTACAAATAGAGAAACTGAGGCAGAGATGTTGTGAAACCTACCTAAGGACACACAGCTAGAAAGGTTTGGAGCTGGGATTGTCTCCAGAGTTCATGTTTTTAACTACTACGTTATGCTGCCTCTCCAGTGATTTTTTTCCCTAATGTTTTTTTCTTTTATTCAGTGTTTCTATAGTAGATATTTGATAATAAAAATCGAGAAATTCCTAAACAACAAGAAATAAAGTTACCTGGCTTTCTGTCCTGAAGGATTTCTGGTAACATGAGAGCTAAGATCCCTTTGGAATATGAAGTCTGGACTGGACATTCAGAACCACTGCATTTTCTGGGACCTGAGTTTGCTAGAATTTCACCACCCACAACCCTGAGGATTACAGCATAGCAGGGGCTGGGGGACTCACTGGAGGTTTGGGCAAGTCTGAGGAATGCCCTTCATGGGTTTAGAATGCCTCTCAGGGGGCAGAGGGCAAGAGACACTACTGCACATGGGAGCACCTTTTCTCAAGGTCTCCCTTGAATTCAGTGTTTATATTTTCTTTATATTCTACAGATGAAAAGATTGCTTGATAGAAGGGAGGATTCAGAAGGGAATCTAGTCCATCACATAAGAGTGAGGAAGTCTCTCTGAGTGCTCACAGGGGGAAGGGAGCGAGAGGGGTAGGAGGACTTTGGACGCTTCTCTCCAGTTCACACGTATTTCCTGTATTTCCCTAAACAAGGGCTATAATTAGGGGCAACAATCCTTCCTGGATAGGCTTCAAGGGTATTGGTTAGAAATCTAGGTACAAAAGATTCATCAGGTTCTCGAGGGGTCCATAACTCCCCTAGTGGTTGAGAACCAGTGGCCTACTCATATCATGGGAAGGCTGTGTTCACCATGTGACTCCTGTGGCTGGAGCTCAAATAGGTATGTAGTATCTGATTCCCTACTTTTCAGGGCTTAATGCATAGTCATCACCCAATAAATGTTGCAGGAGTAAATTAGTTGAATGGATTTCTGATGTGATTTGTGCCAAAACCCTTGGAGAGAATAGAGTTAGCAGTATTAGCGCTGTAAGAGAAAGCGGCCTAATGTATCAAGTCATACTGCCAGTATACAGATACTGTATTTTAATACCCAAAGACACACATTGAGTGAATCCAGAGTCTCTGATTTAGGGACTCAGGGATTTCATAAATCATACACAATATTCCACAAGCATCCTGGTAAGTTATTCTATAACTATATATTACCAAGCCTAATATCTCTTAAGAACTGTTTCTAAAAGGGCCTGCTGTGGCGCAGTTCACATCACGAGTTGAGAAAATCCCAGACTTCTTCCTCTTGGAAGGATTCCCTGCCCCTTCATCCCCTATCATACACAGCCTTTATACACAATGTGCCCTTGATGTCCACAACTCCCAGGTCCCCTCTTAGCTTGCTATTCTACATTGACATGGCTCAGGTCATTGTCCTTTTTGACCTCACCTTCCACCCCTCTCCAACTCTGAAAGTTTCTGCTGGGCCCAGTTGGAACTCTCTTTTAGCCATAAGCTCCCTTTTCACGTCCTTGCTGTGACTGAAACTTGGGTCTCCCCTGTGCCTGGGGTCTCTTACTCTTCCAACGGGTGGCTGCTTTCTCTCCTACTCTTCTCATTTGCTGCCTCTTGATTGTTGCCGTTCCCTTCTCTAAAACAGCCCCGACTCTTGACTCTCGTGGTACCAGACTATCATTTCAGGCTCACCTTGCTGCAGTCATCTATCAACAGGTCATTCATCCACATATGAAAGATTTCAGCTCCTGCCTCATTGCATATAAAATCACCCCCATCATACTTCTTCCTGATTCCACTGTCCATGTAGTTGATCTTCCTGTGTCCTGACCTCACAGTTCTTTGACCTTTCTGCTCATGGTTTTGTCAACCACTCTGCCACAACCAGGCACTCCCATTGTCATCCCTAGGACCATTCCATTACCAGTGACTGGAACCTCCACCATCTGTTTTAAGCATCTCTTCCTAAGCTAGTTGGCTATTTAGTACCAAGATTCCAACAGTGCCTTGATTGAACCTTCCCTCATGCTCAGCGCCATCAGATGACTTTGCTTCCTATTTCCCTGAGAAAATAAAAGCAATCAGCAGAGGCCTTCCAAACACCTCTCCACCTCCATCCACCTTCCAGTGCCAGTGCCTTCCTGCTTTCCAGTGCCTGTATATGACCTAGCTGGGTTGGCACCAGAGTCTGTCCCCTCTCCACTACTCAAGGACATTGCTCCAGCAAGTTCCCCTATCTTGCATCAGCTGCTTTTCTCTGTTTACTGGATTATTCCCATCAACATGCAAACATGCTTAAAAAAAAAAAAAAGAAAGAAAACTCTTGATACCACATGCCCTTCTAGCTCCTTCATTTCTCTGCTTTGTTTTAGAAAGCAAAACTTCTCAAGAGTTGTCTGTTCTTGCTGTCTCCACTTCCTTTCCATTTTTACTTGAACCTGCTTCAAACCTACCTCCTGGCTACCAGATGACTTCCACATTGCTAAATCCAGTGGTCAACTGTTTTTGCTTCTTGTCAGCAGCATTTCATTTATTTTTGGTGAGGAAGGTTGGCCTTGAGCTAACATCTATGCCCATCTTCCTCTATTTTTTTGTATGTGGGACACTGCCACAGCATGGCTTGGTGAGTAGGTCTGCACCTGGAATCTGAATCTGAGAACCCAGACCCCTGAAGTAGAGCATGATGAACTTCACTATTGCGACTGGGATGGCCCCAGAAGCATTTTAGATAACAGATCATTTCCTCCATGAAACATGTTCTTCACCTGGCTTTCAGGACTTGCCTCCTGCTTCTGGCCTTCCTTTCAGGCCTCCTTTGGTGTTTCCTCCCACCTGCATTACCTCTTACAGTCAGGCGGCCCATTTCCTATCTGCTCACACTCTCGATCTCATCCAGTCTCAAGCCTTTAAACATCACTGGTATGCTGATAACTTTCCTTTTAAGGCTAGTTTGATGAGTTTTGAAAAAAAGGTCTACATCCTTTTAACCAGCACTACAATCAAAATAGAATATTTTCACTTCTTCAAAAAGTTCCTTCATGTCTATTTGCAGTTAATTCCACCTACCTGTCTGCTTTGTCACTACGTATTAGAATTTTTTCGAGTTTTATACAGACTCATACAGATTCTCTTCCTCCACTATCTTTTGTATCCCAATTCTTAGCTTAACATAATGTTTTTTGAGGCTCATCTGTGTTGCAGCATGATCAGTAGATTACTCCTTTTTCCGCTGAGTAGTGCTCCATGATGTGGATGTGCTCTGTTAGTCATCCTGTTCACCTCTTGATGGACATTGTTTCCAGTTCTTGGCTGCTGTAAACATAGCTACCATGGACATTCTTCTACAAGGCTTGTTGTGTATACAAGTTTCCCGTTATCTTGGATAAAAACCTGGGGGTAGAAGAACTGGGTTGTATGGTAAGTGTAGTTTAACTTCCTAAGACTGTCTATGGGCCTTTTAATCTGACATTTTTAATCTTTTACATCCCAGGAAATTTCTGTTGTTTTTTAATATTTCATCCTTTCCATTTAAAAAAGTTTCTGTTTTTAGGCCACTGTTATTCAGATGTTAGCATGTCTGTCATTTGTATTTCTTAACTTTTATGTTTCTAATTCCTTTTCCTTTCTTATTTTTGTCTGATCATTTCCTCAGCTGCTCTTCCAGTTTGCTAACTTCTCAGCTGTCCATTTGTCTACTTATTTCCTCTATTGTGTCTTCATTTCAACAATTGTTTTACATACTGAATATTTCCACTTGGTTCTTTTATTCGTTATTCTCGTTTCCTATTGCTAATACCATGCCTTGTCTCTTTAAATGTATTTAATAGACTATTTAAAAATTTTGGCCCATCTGTTCTAATATATCTCCTTCTAATGGAATCTGTAATCCAATGTGTTGTTTTTTTCCTTCTGAAAGAGTTATGCTAAGAAAATTGCTTCTTACCTTGGCCAGAGACTGCATTTCCCTTGGGGTCATGGGCTGCTCCATCAGTTGTTATGCATACATGTGACAGGATCAGTTCCTGGTCCCTATAAACCCCATTAGTTCAGGGATGGGGGAATGGATCCTGGGATGGGGAGGTTGAAGCATCAGAAGGCCAGACAATGACTCTTCATCCCACAAGATAACTCCTTGGAATATTATTCATCAGCCCAGGGCTTTGAGGAGGCAGGGTGGAGAAACATATGCCTGAGATAAGAGGCATATGTTTCTCCGCCTGTTTCCCTGCTACGTCTAAGCACAGGCTACTGCCCTGCTTGACTGCACTCCCCAGGAAGCCTGGGTTACTGCAGCTGTGGGGAGAGACTGTTGTTCCAAGACAAAGGCAAGGGAGAAGCAACAGCAAACTCCAGAAGTTCCTTTTCTATTTTATTCTTACAGCTGAGCTGTGCTGCCTCCTGTCCCAGCCACCCAGCCCAGCACACTAGTTCAAATCAAGTATCAACCCAGGTCTTTCCAACAGTTTCTGGTATTCCCTGATGTGGGTTTATCTCAAGTACGACCTGTGGTTGAGCTGGCTTGTAGGAACCAGAGTTGGAATCTCAGTTGTGAATCTTGAGTGGATTGTCTCAACATGAAGTCTGTGGAAAGGTCTTGAGACCACATCTCTTATCCTGTCAACATCTCCACAGGGGCAGCACACAACACAGGCAGCTCCAAGGCCAACAGGCCCTATTTAAAATGGTGGACCTCCCATCCTTGGTTCCCTTACCCATACTACTCCTGTAGTTTACACATTCATAACACACATCAGCTTCAAGCACACTGTACAGTCAACTTACTATTTCCTTTTATTGCCTGTCTTACTCTTAACTAGACACAAGCTCCACGAGGGGAGGGTTTTCATTGTTTAGTGCAGTACCCAGGACCTGGAAGAGTGCCTGACACACAGCAGGTTCTCAACAACTATCTGTTGGATAAATGGCCAAAACAGCATTAGGGTTATTCCCAAAGCACCAAACTCAGACTCTAAACACCCTCCCATGTTATCATGACAATGGAAGAGTTCTAATAGACTCCAGGGAGGGCAACCCAGACCAAAGGGAAGATCTTGGGGGTGGATCTGTGCAGAGCATATAGACGGGACAATGGGTGAGATTGATCTGGGGTTTGGATGATTGGAAAGACAAGCCTCCATGCTTAAGAACTTCCTGGGTGCTGTGCTTGCTCCATTTTACTTACTGGAGGTTCCTGTCCAGTGAAAAAACTGGCTGGACTAGGAGGCCGTGAACTCATTCTTTTGGAGCTTGGAGTAAACTGGGTGGGGACTGCCAAATGGCCACTTAGTGCCTCAGTGGATCTTCCAGTGCCTCACCACTGCCAGGGGGTGTAAACACCCCAAATAGAGGGTAGAGAGATCTTCCACAATTGACATTTTATGTAAATGCAGGCAAGTCTTTTAAGGTCATGATATAAACAGCCCAGTTACTCACAATCATCCTAACTCTAGAGATCCTCATTTCCAGTACACTTATGGGACTAAGCTCATTCAGACATAAGTTGCGTATGTACTAGCTATTACAGAGCATAACCCACTTCACCATTAGAAACAGTGAAAGGGATATGGGGCTGGGGGAAGGGTAGTGATTGCCACGCTCTTTCAGAAATCAGCTCTGAGGACAGTGATGACGCATAGGTGATGCCACTGGGCACTGACTGCACTTCACGGCTGCAACTTGGGGAAAGTTACACATGCAGAACAGAAACAGGTGAATCTGAAGTGTGGATGACTACATTTGTGTCACCATGACAGGGAAAGAGTGCACTGGAAAACAGCGCATGTGCTTGTTCGTTCGTTTGTGCATTTAGCAAACCCTCCTGGAGGGGCTGATGTATGTGGAGCCCTGGGCTGGGCTCTGTGATGCCCTCAAGGAGCCACAGTCCCACAGGTGAGGTATTGGGTACATCACTGAGGACAGGGCAGATGTCGGGGCCAGAACAGGGCATGAAC